CTGCAGACCTAGATTGTTGTTCCGAGGCTAGCTTTGATGTTGCCATGGCGGAAACACAATTCTCTGACGAGTGAGATCTGTCCCCAGAATCCTGAACTGCAGAGTGTTGGCGAAGGTGTTGGGAAAGAAATTGCGTGGGGCGAAAGCGAAACGAAGTGGCGAGGAACTACAGCGGCCACAACACGAAAATCCTAATCCTCGTTTGTGAGTCCAACTGAACATCGTTTGACAGCTGACGGTACGAATATGAAAAAAAAAAAACAATCAGCCCCCATATAAATCTCGGAAATATAACCACGGTGAGAAACGTTCAAGCGAAACACTTCCAAACATAGTAAATAAATAACTGCCAACTAGTGGGATTTTGATAGCCGATCATGGAGCACTATTAAATCCATTGCCGTTTCAAATTAAATGCTATAAACCAATATGGTACCAAAAACTTTGGCTCAACATCTAATCTAATCATCATTTTATTACAAAATGAGCCATTCAGTCAAGGTCCGTCGAGAACCATCTGCATAGTGAAAGCGAAACAGCAGGAAGAATCGAGAAGGGAGGACAGAATGGTCGAGTGAGGAGAAGGGATATGGAGGGCACGTGGAAGGGATGAAATAATGGGTAGGATTGTGGGTGGTGCGCGGTGGGGATGCAAAGGATACAGGATAGGAAGGACATCGGATTGTTGGGCGAAGGCAATTACAAAAGAATGGAAAAGGGAGGACACTGGCAGATAGCGAAGGAAGGAAAGAGGAAAAGGGGTGGAGGAGAAGGGGGGAAGGAGTGAGCAAGAGAGGGAAGGAGGGAGAGTAAGCAGATTGTGAGTGCAGGAAGGCAGGAGTGTGTCCCTCACCCTCTGTCTCTCCTTCTCTAGCTCTCTTCCTCGGTCCCTTCCCTTCCCCCCTCGGTCCCTTCCCTTCCCCCCTCGGTCTTTTCCCCACTGTGTCTCCCCGTCTGTCTCCCACCCTAAACCCTCCCCTTCTTTCCCTCCCTCTGTGTCCCCCCCCCTCTCTGACCCTCCATCTCTATCCCTCCCTCTCTGTCCCTCCCTCTCTGTCCCTCCCTCTCTGTCCCTCCCTCTCTGTCCCTCCCTCTCTGTCCCTTCCCCTTGGGGAGAATGAGGGAGATGGCGGGTTGGAACGAGAGAGTATGAGTAGGGAAGGGGAACGGAAGGTGCGGGGGGGGGGAGGGGGGGGTGGTGGGGGGGTGGGGGGGTGGGGTGGAGGGGGGAACGTGAGAGTAAAAGGTTTCGAAAGTCGATTGGAGTGTGGTGCCACACTTCTGCCACCATCAACCATCCACACTGGAGGGGAAGGGGGGAGCTGAAGGGGGGAGGAGTGGGGACGGGTGGTTGGAGTATGAGGTGGGTGAAGAGGGAGAGAGAGCGGGATTGCGGGGAGCAGGTAATGTGGGAGGTGCGAGAGGTGCTGCCTGAAGGTGCCATGGCTATGGTGCTGCTGCTTCAGTGGGATGGTGGAGGTGTAGATGGGAGGGTGATGACGGGCAGAGGACCTGAGATGGGAAGGCACAAGGTGAATGGCAACAAGGGGAGACAGATGAAGATGGTGTGATGGGGTGGACAGCTGAGCACGGCACAATGGAGTTGTGCGAATGAGATGGTGACAGGTGGAAGGCATGCGGGGAGGATGGGGAGGATGAGCGCGGCACTGAGGGAGCTGAATCTGGTGAGTGGAGGAGTTGGAGATGAGAAGGGAGAGATGAGGGAGAAAAAGGGGATGACAGGAAGGGAGTGGTAGGAAGGATACGAGATGAGAAGGTCAGAAAAGAGAAGAATATAGGAGGGGAGGGGAAGGGGACGGAGGGGAAGGGGATGGAGGGGAAGAAAGGGAGGAAGGGGGAGCGGAAGGGGGAAGAAGAAAAAGGTCGGGGGTGGGGGTTTGAAAGGATTTGTACGAAAGCAGGAGGGTGGTCAGCTCCTTGTGCCGCCTTACCCTCTTTGAGCGCTGTCAACCCATTTCTAACCGGGCTCGGTATGGATCGGGCCAAACGAAAAGGCTGAGTTGAGCAGGATGGCCTAGGTCAATCCGCATGCGATCTGCAGGTCTGACACCAACTTGGCGACGAACTAAACCAGATATGCAAGTTTGACACCCTAACCTGGGACGAACTGAGCTGAATATGCAGGGTTGACACCCTAAATGGGCTGCTGGATTAAGGAAGGAGAGGAGAGTTGAAATAAGGGGGAGTAGAGGGTACGGGGAGAGGGGGGATAGAAAGCAGTTAGCAAGAATAAAAGGAGCTGGATTGCAACAAATTCTTGCAAAGTCGCGCAAAAGTCAATCTCTTCTGTGGAGACACCCCGGTCCCCCCAACCCTTCCCACTTCCAGCTCGCCCTAGCAGCCCTAAATCCCTTGCAAGCGTTAAGTCACCACGACTTCCTCCACCCTCTCCCACTCCACGTCGCCCCCCTGCACATCCCACACCCTTCTCGATGCCCTCTGGTGCAACCCCAATCCCCCAACCATGCCAGATGCGGCGAGCACATACTTGAAACGTGAGTTTTACTCAACTTGACTTGGCCGAGTTGTTTTCCAAAAGAAAAAAACAAACTTGTTTGTAACTTGACTCGCATGCCCATGTATAACGCGGTTGGTGTGGGGAAGGCAGTGGGGGGAATGGGGGGGGAGAGGGCGCGGGAGTAAGGGACATCGGGTAGTGGCAGAGAGATGAAGGTATCACACCCAGGAAAGCAGTGCTTAATTTCATTCTATGAGGATTTCTTTGTGGTGCTTAAAGCGATTAAGCTCCCTAAAAGCCTCAATGCCGGCCAGCCCCATTCCGCCCTGCCGCAGCTGCCCCATCGTTTGAGAACCACGCTGCCCTGTTTCTGCAGCACACGCCGCTGCCGCTGCTGTCAAGGCTGCGCTGCCCCATCACCTCGCTGATGCTGTGACTGCAATCCACGCTGCTCCCCGTGTTTTTTGAGAATTCTCAAAAAACATGAAAGAAGGAGTGTTTTGAGACGTCTCAAAACACTCCTTCTTTCACGTGGAAAAACCATGCCGTGACTGCAATCCACGCTGCTCCCCACCATGCCACCGCCGCCGCCGCTGTGGGCACTGGCGGGGCGGTTCTGCCATACTACAAGCGCCGGGGGAAGCCCAGGGAGGAGGAGGCGGGTGCGGGCATAATCGTGCCTGTGAGGATGGCATCTGTGAGTGCTGCGTCAGCTGCCAGCAGCTGAGCCGTGCGCGCACCACCTCCATGCTCTTGCACCTCCCAAATCAACTGCCTCTGCTACCCGTGCTGCCGGTTCTTGTTGCTGGCCGCCGCACTACCTCCATGCTCGGGTGCCCCTGTCTCCCTGCCCCATCAACCCTCCTCCCACCTGTCGCGCCACTGTTGTGCCTGCGTGCATGTTCGTAGTGATCAAACTCCCGCTCATGCGCCCCCCCTATGTTCTGACCCAAGCACTCCCCCCCTCTCCGTGCTCCTGCCTGGTGAGACGAATGTGAGAAACAGAGGAGACAGTGGTGCTGAGGAGCCTACAAACACGGGGTTATGGATGGCATGGCGTGGGAGGCAGTCACAGCAGTGGCTCATGCGCAAAATATACCCAAAGGAGCGGGAAAGGGCGGCTCCTGAAGCACTGTGCTGGACACACCCATGCCACCATTTGCGCCACCACTGCCGCCCGCATGCGCGTTCCCCCCTGCTGCTGTTGAATCCCCCTTCCTTCCTCCCTTTCTTGCCCGCCCCCGCTTGCTACCCCCTCCCACACTTGCTGCGTCTCACTCCTCCATCTGCTTGCCCCGCCTTCGCCCTGCCGCTGCGCCCACCGCCCGTTTGCCCCTGGCGCTTGCGACACCCAGGCGAAGTGGTCCCAAGAAGCAGCACACGGCAGGCGCGGATGAAGGGCAAGGAAGGGGGAGGAGATGGGCTGTCGCATGCAATTTTTCCCTAATGCAAGCAAAAGAGTGACCCCGGTTCAAGTGAGTGAACTCAGTGCGACGGACCCCAGTACGACATACTTGAGTGCGACAGACCCCAGTACGACATACTTCAGTGCGACGGACCCCAGTACGACATACTTCAGTGCGACAGACCCCAGTACGACATACTTCAGTGCGACAGACCCCAGTACGACATACTTCAGTGCGACAGACCCCAGTACGACATACTTCAGTGCGACAGACCCCAGTACGACATACTCCAGTGCGACAAACGGCAGTGCGACATATTCAGTGCGACGGACGTCACGGATCCTGCGTGCTGCCTTGTGTGGAGCAACAGTGGCATCGCCATGCCGAAGTTGTTCCAATGAGCACCGCAGAATCAAGACGGAAAGGGTGATCACTAGGCAATTGATATGTGATTGGAGTAATCGCTGTGCTTCAAAGCGACGTCGCACTGTGAAGTGCAAAACAATATAGATACAAAATTTTTACAAAGCTTGAATATAAATATGGTGCCCTCAACGAACGCATTACCGCAAGTCAACACGTGCTCAGCAGGATTCGAACCTGCGCGAGCAGAGCCCAACAGATTTCTAGTCTGTCCCGATAACCACTCCGGCATGAGCACACGTTTCGATGAAAATAGAAGCAACTACCACAGTGCCCACACTCCCCTCCTAACCAACAGCCCTGCCCAATCTAGCCTCATCTGCTCGTCCTTCAAGACAAAAGCGACTTGCTGGTGAACCATCCTTAGACTACGTTCCTCCCACCACCCACCTCCTTCTCCCACTGCTCGACCCTGAGAAAGGACATGACCACGAGGCAAACAGCAGCCCCACCTAGCCTTGCCTCACCCGTTATCTGTTCGTGACCCACTATTGACTCACAACTATCAAACAGCCCAGCCCACTAACCCTCACGCACTCGAAACGCACCTCCTCCTTCCTCTGCTCGTCACTCCTCAAACACCGCCACCAGGCACCCAGCAGCCCCGCCTAGCCTTGGCTCACCCATAATCTGCTCGCGACCCACATTGACTCACAAGTATCAAACAGCCCAGCTTGCTCGCACCCCCTCACTCACTCCGAATGTACCTCCTCCTTCCTCTGCTCGTCACTCCTCAAACACCACCACGAGGCACCCAGCAGCCCGGCCTCGCCCAGCTTCGCCTGCAGCCTCTCGCGCACCTCCGCCACGTCAGCAGCCTCTACCGTGCTGCTGTGGGGGCGAACAGTGCGGCCACGGCATAGGGAGGGGAGTCCATGGCACAAAAGTAGGTGTGGGATAAGCAGGTGCGGATTCAGTGCTGGGGGTTGGGTGGGCGGGAGGTGTGGGGGTAGAGAAGGGGAGAGGAAAGGACGAAAAGGGCAAACAGCACAAATGGGAAGACACTGACATTGAGAGAGAGAAGGGTTGGTATTATGACACGTGGATGGGGAGAAGGGTTGGTATTATGACATGTGGATGGGGAAAAGGGTTGGTAGTATGACATGTGGATGGGGAGAAGGGTTGGTATTATGACATGTGGATGGGGAGAAGGATTACGAGAGAGATGTGGACGGCAATGTCGTAGGAGCATCGAAGTTTTCATCCACCAGATGTGGATGTGGGACACAAGTCGGTCTGAGAGAGGCAGGTGCAGAGGTGGGGGGGGACGGGTGCAGGGGAAGTGAAGAGGGCTACGGCGGTGAAGGGAAGGTGCGTTACATCCCTGTCAAGAAGTGCACTCAGCAGCCCTCAAGTTCCTCATGAGAAATGACTTTTCGACTCAAAAGTCAAGTGCACTGTCCTCAAGTTGATTATGAGAAATGAGTTAATTCTTCAGAAATCCGTGCGGAGCTAGGGGGAAGAGATGTGGGAGACAGTGCGGTAGGGGTGTGAGTCGGTGAGTCCATGTAAGGAAAGAAGGCAGGGCGCTGAGGGGTACGATAGAGAAAGAGGGATAGAGGTCAAGGGAAGGGTTTTTGAGACGTCTTAGTAGGGGCGTTAGTCAGTGAGTCCATGTAAGGAATGAAGGCGGGGCGCTGAGGGGTACGATAGAGGAAGAGGGATAGAGGTCAAGGGAAGGGTTTTTGAGACGTCTTAGTAGGGGCGTTAGTCGGTGAGTCCATGTAAGGAAAGAAGGCGGGGCGCTGAGGGGTACGATAGAGAAAGAGGGATAGAGGTCAAGGGAAGGGTGAGTAATGCACACGTGTGGTAATGGCATATGTCAAAGGTCATAAGTCGGTGTGGGATGCTCAAACGCAAGGCTGAATGGATGGGAAAAGGGATGGGAGGATGCGAATGGGGGCTGGTTAGGAAGAGGGTATCGGGATTTGGGAGGGGACGGGAGGCAAAAGGAGCGGGGGTGGGGGAAATTAATGGACGGCAATTGCAACCTGGTCTGTCCATCAGCTTCCTCCACTAACTCTCACAGCCTTTCAGTAGCAAATCTTAGAAACAACTAGTCAACGTCCCCCCTCCCACCATCGACGGCGAGTGACTCGAGTCGAAATTGACTCGTGAGTGAGTCGAGATTGAGTCGAGTTTGACTCGTGAGTGAGTCGAGAGTGAGTCGAGAGTGAGTCGAGATTGAGTCGAGAGTGAGTCGAGATTGACTCGTCAGTGATTCCTACACTACACGCCCCTCTCCTTCGCATCTCAAGTGACTTACTCGAGAGTGGGTCGAGAGTGACTCTCACCTTGCCAATATCCAGCTTGCCAACCGCCCCTGGCCACTCAACCCTTTCCACCCATGGACAACACCCCACACATCCTCCATAATCCCCGCCCCACGCATCGTCTATAATCTCTGCCCACCCGACGCATCCACTTTGACCTCCGCTTTTCGGTCGACTCAAAAGCACACCCCACGCACCCGCTATGATCTCAGCCCACCCCAGCTGCATCCCCCACCATTCACCCCCCCTTCATTGCCCCTTCATCTGCCTGACTCTTTCCACTCGCAGTTGACCGCCTTGACCAGAGCTGACCGCCTTGACCAGAGCTGACCGCCTTGACCAGAGCTGACCGCCTTGACCAGAGCTGACCGCCTTGACCAGAGCTGACCGCCTTGACCAGAGCTGACCGCCTTGACCAGAGCTGACCGCCTTGACCAGAGCTGACCGCCTTGACCAGAGCTGACCGCCTTGACCAGAGCTGACCGCCTTGACCAGAGTTGACCGCCTTGACCAGAGCTGACCGCCTTGACCAGAGCTGACCTGCTTCACCACAGCTGACTCACTTCACCGCCACCACAGGTGCTGCTGCACACATGGCTCTGCCATGCTGCCTACTGTGTTTCGCACTAGAGACCTTCCAATCATGACAATGCAGCCATATCAACGCACTAAAGACCTTCCAACTAGGAGGGCCAATCATGACAATGCAGCCATATCAACGCACTAAAGACCTTCCAACTAGGAGGGCCAATCATGACAATGCAGCCATCCTGGTTCTGACGGTGCCCCTGACTCGCCATGCCTCCAGGGCGAAGCGGCTGCTGCAAGCAGCGCGCGCGGAGGTAGGGGGGAGGTGCAGAGAGTACAGGGGGGCAAAAATATGAGCAGGAGAGGAGGGCGATAGGGGCATGGAGGGGAAGATTGGGTGATGTGGGAGGGAGGGAGACGTGGTGCCGGATGGTGCGATGGCTATGGTGAGATGGTGGGGGAGCAAATGGGGAGGTGAAGGAGGGCAGAGGTGGAGGATGTGTTAGAGGGAGAGACAGTTGGCTCGTGCATGGGGTGATGTAGGAAGGGGCATAGCATGATGGGATGAAGGGCACGGCACGATTAGATGAATGGGGTGGCGGGGGGTGTTGGGCAAGGTTGTGGGGAGGAACATGTGGAATAAGGAAGGGAGGGCAGAGGGAGTCTAGGGAGATGCCAGGGAGGGAGCGGAAGAGAGGAATTGAAAGGAAAGGAAAGGAAAGGAAAAGGAAGGGACATGGGGGGACGACGAAAGACGATGAGAGCAGAGGAATGTGGCTGGTAAGAAGGAATGTGAGGGGAACGGGAGCGCGGAGAACGGAGCAGGTGTTGCGTTGGAAAAAGATTATCATGCAATGGCCAGCAGGAAAGAGGTTGCTCTCATTGAGAGTTGAACTCAAGACCTCCCGCTTACTAAACGGGTGCTCTAACCAACTGAGCTATGAGAGCTGTTGTACGAATTTTCTGTGAAGTGAAGTCGGGATACTAAGGCACACCGAGCTCAGTTTCAGCTGTTTTAATCTCTGAGGACTGTGCAAACCCCTCGAAGGAAGTATTAAGACAATTGTTGGGGCAATGGTAAGGGAGGAGGAAGGAGGGTTGAGAATTGGGTGGGAGAGAGGGATGTAAATGAAAGAAACTGGAGGGAAAAAGGGGTTGGCAGGAGGAGAGGGGTGTCGGGAGACGAGGCACACATTTTCTACGGTCTCGCTCTTCTCTCCCATGCCTACCTGCCTGCTGCCTCTACCCACTCGCCACTGACTGCCTCTATCCTTCACCGCCTCGACTGCAGCTGCTGCTGCGAGCCATGGCTCTGCCATGTTGCTCGACCAACTGTTATCTTCATCTATTGGCCGGCTCTTCACAAGTCACAGGGTGCTGTTGGTGCGGGGATGGAACGGTCAGAGGGAAGGGAAGAAGGTGGGGGCTTGATTTTCAGAGAGGATGGCGGAGGTGGAAGACAGCCAGGGATGGCATTCAGGCATTGCGGAACAACAAACTAGCAGTGCAGCGATCGATGAGAGGCAATGCTAGAATGAGACGCGGGGAAGCAGTGACACAGCCATGGCTCGCTATTCTGGTGGGGAAGCACTATTTTGTGGCGAAGTTCATTCTGCCTAGTCAGCAAAATAGTGCAAAACCACAATACTGGGCGCGAGTAGGCGAAAGCACGAATTGAGACAACTGTGATCAGTAACAATATGGATGGAAGGTGAGGAATGGGGTGGGAGAGTGATTCAGATTTCTCTGGCTACTCTGCTTCTCTCACCACCGCATTGGGTCAGCTGAAAAGCAATCCACAATCTCATATCCATGCTTCGACTGCCTCAAAACAGCCCTCCCTCGCATGGGTCAGCCTCGCATGGGTCAGCCTTGCATTGGCTCTCGCGCTGCCGTTGCTCCATTATCGCGATCTAATGAAACTCACAAAACGAACTTTCCACAATACATGAACACCACAACGTGCTGATTCTTGCCCTCGCACGCCCGCAATGCCTCCGCCTCTCTTGGGCATCCTCTGCTATCACACACGCCAGCACCTGCCACCACCACCTTTCCTTCTTTTCCACCTCCCTCTGACTTACCTCCTCGTCTCTCTTGCTCCTCTTCCCCTCCTCCACCTCCCACCGCTTCCCCCTCTCCTCTTGTCCCCCTTGCCGCTTCCTGCCCAAGTGCTTACTCCTCGCATCAACCCTCGTCTCCCTATTTAGCCCCCCCTTCTAGAAGCAACTTGACAATTGCGGCTCTTTAAATCCGTATCTCTGCTCTCCTGATCTCAGGTCAGGTGCTGTTAGGGTGGGAAGCGAAAGGAAGTGGGGGAGGGAAAGCGGGAGACGGGGGAGAGGGCTGAGAGGCTGTGAGCTGAGATGCCGTCAGCTGAGAGGCCGTCAGCTGAGAGGCCGTCAGCTGAGCGGCCGTCAGCTGAGCGGCCGTCAGCTGAGCGGCCGTCAGCTGAGAGGCCGTCAGCTGGGAGCCACAAAAGGAGCTATGATGCGTGCATCCTCTCACGAAAAAAGCGGCGATAAGAGCCAGCGCTGCAAAATGGCACCCATGGGCAAGCTAGTATGCTCAGATTCACTCGGCTGCATAGCGCCAAAAACGCCATGCCGACTGCTAAAATCTGGCGCGGATAGGCGGCGATGGGCGCATTCCGACTGCTGCCACTGCTCGGTGCGTTCACCCGCGGCGAGTGCGGCGAGTGCTGAAATTCTTAATGCTGAAAAATGTCATTTTTCTTGAGTTGCGGGCGCACACGAAAACAACGGCACGCTGAGATTTGCTTCGCCATACGCTCTTCGCCGCCTTGTTCTAAGCCACACGACATGGATACATCGCACTCAAACCCTTGTAGTTATGAGTAAGTCGATGCGGAGTTTCTTAAACAGAGATCGTAACACACGCGCGATTTAATAGTCTGTTTGCTCTAAGTGCGATCAATTAGGTTGCTCAACGGAATATGCGACACGGAAAAGATGGTTGGAAGGAATGTGAAAGTGCTGAGGGCCCGTCTAGAACACGAATTGGCGAACTTTGCTAAGTTCTGGTTGTAAGGACAGTTTTGTACAGCTCTTTTGTGTCCTGAATGCTGACGAGTAGAAGGTGAAACTCGGAAAATATATATTCTTTTGTTCAATGTAACATCATGTTACCAAATATACTTCAAACCCAGCGTGGAATGAACACGTCTTTCCTTGTCAAATACTTACAACACAAGCAACAATCATATGAGTCTTTAAACGCAATGTCACGACTCAGCCTACAGCGAGAGCCCTGAGTCACAAGTTTGTGATGATCCAACGGTCGTGATCTCAAATCAGCGACCTGCAGCCAAGTTTCTAAGAATAACTACATCGCGTACTGTGAAATTTCAATTACCTCGACCTCACACTTTTTGGAATGAAGGCATAGCGGCGGAGGCATGGGCGCAAAGGAGGAGGAGGGCGGACGATTTGTTCCGCCCGCTGAGCGAGAGGTGCGCGGGGGAAGCGTGTGAGCGAGAAAGATGGAGGGAGAGGGGCCGCGAAAAATGAGCGGAAGAAAGCGAACGGGAGCAGCAGCGGGGACCAGAGCGAGCAGCCGAGCGGCGCGCGTGAGAGGTGCGGCAGGCGCGCGGGGCAAGAGCGCGAGCGCCGCTGCTGTGCTGAGTGTGCCAGCGAATGAGAAGCTTGCACACTCCCTCACCCCTTGCGTGCCCACGCCGCTCGCCTCCTCCTCACTCCCATGCGCCGCCAGTCCCGTGCGCCGCCACTCCCATGCGCCCCCACTCCCGTGCGCCGCCACTCCTATGCGCCCCCACTCCCGTGCGCCGCCACTCCCATGCGCCCCCACTCCCGTGCGCCGCCACTCCCATGCGCCCCCACTCCCGTGCGCCGCCACTCCCATGCGCCGCCACTCCCGTGCGCCGCCACTCCAGTGCGCCGTCACTCCAGTGCGCCGCCACTCCCGTGCGCCGCCACTCCAGTGCGCCGTCACTCCCATGCGCCGCCACTCCAGTGCGCCGCCACTCCAGTGCGCCGTCACTCCCGTGCTTCCTGCCCCTCAGAACAGTCCGCAGTCGTCTCCGCTCCTCGCTATCCCTTCTCCCCTCTTTTCCTGCGTCGAACCCATAACCCCTGCACTCTCCATCTCCTCTACCCCCCTTCCCAGCCTCCCTTCCCCTCCCCGACTCTCAGACGTGCTGACTGCCATCGGCTCCGCTCCTCCCGCTCCTCGCTAACCCCTCTCCCCACCCTTCCTGCATCATGCCTGTAACCGCTGCTTTCCCCTCCCTTCCTCTCCCCGAGTTTTGAGGCGCCTCAAAAGCTTTCCCCTTCCCCTCCCTGAGTCTCAGACATGCTGACTGCCATCAAGCTCCTCTCTTCCCCCCATCCCCCTCTCTCCTCCCCCCATCCCCCCCTCTCTTCCCCTCCTCCCCCCCTCTCTTCCTCTCATCTCCCTCTCCCTTCCCTCCTTCCCCCCGCCCAACCCTGTCTGTCGCGCCCCTCTGGCAGGCGTGGGTGCCCCCCTTGGCGGCGCAGCAGTGGGGGCAGACGACCACCGCTGGCATCGTTGCCGGCATGATGCTGGGGGCCAGCCGCGAGGCCGCTCGCACCCAGGTGAGGTGAGGCGAGGCGCACCCAGGTGAGGCGCACCCAGGTGAGGCGAGGCGCACCCAGGTGAGGCGCACTCCACGTGCTGATTGCACATAAGCCGCACTGCTCGTCGCACCCAGGTGAGCCGCGTGCTACCTGACACGCCTGGCCCAGGCTGGGATCTAGCAGCTAGGGCACTTCTGAAGTGGGTCGAGAGGTGGACACAGTTGGTGCTTGGGTTATTGGAGTGCAGAGCTGAGGTTAAATGCGGTTCTGTGGGGTAACAAGCAGGCGGGCTGAGTAAGGTGGGGTGGGAGTGGCAGGCATGCATGTCGGCTCATTGGGCGCCCAAAAGCGAGTTTGTGGTTGCTTGCAGGGCAACCTTTGGTCGTCACGCTTCTTTCTCTCTTTCCAACCCCCATTGTCTGATAGGGCGACAGCTGAGAGGGGCGGCAGCTGGATCGGTGCTCCTGTGGTTTTCATGTGACACTCCTTCCCTTCACTCTTCCTTCCCAATGCCCTCCAGGCCTCCTCTCCGTTTTCAATGGACCACAGTCACCATCAGCAGCACACACCACCACCCTCCACCGCAGCAGCAGCCCCCCCCGCCCACCCTAACTTCCCTCCGCACGCCTCCCCCTCGTCGCGCTACGCAGCGGCTCGCCTGGCGGCGGAGCGGCGGCTGGTGAGGGTGGTGAGGGCGTCGGTGGCGGGCGGCGGGGCACAGCTGGGCGCGCTGGCAGGCTGTTTCTGTGACTTTCATGTGACTCTGCCTCCCTTCACCTCTCCGTCCCATTCCCATTACCCTCCAGGCCTCCTCTCCGTTTTCGATGCACAACAGCCACCATCAGCAGCAAACAGCAGCACCCCCCTCCACCACAGCCGCCCCATCTCACTCCTCCCACTCGGCGCGCTATGCTACAGCTCGCCTGGCAGCGGAGCGGCGGCTGGTGAGGGTGGTGAGGGCGTCGGTGGCGGGCGGCGCACAGCTGGGCGCGCTGGCAGGCGTCTTCTCCGCCTCGCAGCTGGGCCTCCGCGCACTCATGCTGGAGTGGAGAGAAGAGGGCGTGGCACAGAGGAGGCGCACACAGGAGGGCGGTGGCAGCAGTAGCAGTAGCAGTAGCAGTGGCAGAAGTGGGGAAGAGGGGGTTGGGGGCAGCAGCAGGGGGTGGCAGGGGGAGGAATTGTGTGAGCCTGACGTGGCCAGCTCTGTTGGCGCTGGTGCCGTGACAGCTGGGCTTGTGGGATTGGTTGGTGAGTCAATGAAGATAGTTCTCCCTGCCTTGTTGCTTCACACCCCCCCACCCCCACTCCCATCACATCCCCACCCACACTCACTGACATTGTCAGCCTCACTATATCTCACTAGATCTCACTATATCTCACTATATCTCACCATCCTTTATAAGGGCTTGGCTTGGATCGGGATGACGTGTAAAGCATGGGAGCCGAAGCGTCAGCAGTGGATGCGAGAAAGGCTGGTAGAGTGAAGGGAGGTGGCAGCAACCTTGGATCAGTAAAGGGTTGAATCAGTCCTTCCGTGGCGTCGGCAGTGGTGCGTGGGAGCAGAGGAGGGTGAGTGGCAGTGGTGCGTGGGAGCAGAGGAGGGTGAGTGGCAGTGGTGCGTGGGAGCAGAGGAGGGTGAGTGGCAGTGGTGCGTGGGAGCAGAGGAGGGTGAGTGGCAGTGGTGCGTGGGAGCAGAGGAGGGTGAGTGGCAGTGGTGCGTGGGAGCAGAGGAGGGTGAGTGGCAGTGGTGCGTGGGAGCAGAGGAGGGTGAGTGGCAGTGGTGCGTGGGAGCAGAGGAGGGTGAGTGGCAGTGGTGCGTGGGAGCAGAGGAGGGTGAGTGGCAGTGGTGCGTGGGAGCAGAGGAGGGTGAGCGGCAGTGGTGCGTGGGAGCAGAGGAGGGTGAGCGGCAGTGGTGCGTGGGAGCAGAGGAGGGTGAGCGGCAGTGGTGCGTGGGAGCAGAGGAGGGTGAGTGGCAGTGGTGCGTGGGAGCAGAGGAGGGTGAGCGGCAGTGGTGCGTGGGAGCAGAGGAGGGTGAGCGGCAGTGGTGCGTGGGAGCAGAGGAGGGTGAGTGGCAGTGGTGCGTGGGAGCAGAGGAGGGTGAGTGGCAGTGGTGCGTGGGAGCAGAGGAGGGTGAGCGGCAGTGGTGCGTACGAATGTGATACGATTCTCTACCTGAGGGTATTTTCCAACTTAGCTATGGAGGCCATCAGCAGAGCAGGTGTGGCTGAAGTGGTGGGTGTGGCCATTACCACATGGATGGTACCATCCATGTTCTGCCACCACGTGGGTGTGGAGGCCATCAGCACAGCAGGTGTGGCTGAAGTGGTGGGTTGTACCATCCATGTGGTGCCACCACGTGGGTGTGGGTAGACAAGCCAGCAGCTGTTGGCAGTGCTGGATCCATTTCTCTGCGGTCCGGCACTGCCAATCCAACAGCTGCTGGCTCAGGTGGCTCCAGGCATGAGTCTGTCTGGGTTGGAGGCAGCGCTTGAGTGGTGGGGAGAGGCGAGATTGTCAGCAGGTAGCAGAGAGGAGGACTGTGTTGTTGGGATGGGAGCAAAGGTGGCAGACGTGAGGAATGAGGTATGGCGTGCAGCGAGGGTGGCGGGCTGGCACCGGGGTGCAACGGCGTGTGAATGAAACGAGGCCGAAGGAAAACTCAGATGGTTGTGAGTCGTGAACACAGAGGGTTGAAGAAGAGTGGACGAATTTAAATCACAAGGAGATGAATCTTTCTGTCTGTCATAATGTGAGGAAGATGTTATAAGGAGAGGAACGGGAGGCAGCAAGAAGTGGGTTGGATCAGTCCGACCTCGAAGGCGGCCACAGGAGTCCCACCAAATTGACTTTTGAGTTGACTCAAAAGTCAGACCGACCTAGAAGGGAGTCACAGGAGTCCCACCAACCAACATGCTGCTGTGATCTTGCTCAAATGACGTTGGAACACACTTGCACCAACTTTGCACTTTAAATTGCACGATCTCCACACTTGCTGGCTCCTGCTGGCTTTCTCTTCCTACCGCCGCTCACTTATCTTGTACTGCTGTACTTCGTAATGTGAAGCTTTCCTCAATTCCCACCACCCTCACCTCCCATCACATCCTCCCTGCCTCTCCCCCCCAGCCACCCGTGCCTCGCCGGCCCATCGCCTCAAGGCGGGTGCTCTCCACACCGTGGCCGGTGCTGCCCTCGCATTCCCCCTGGGTGAGTCGCACCTCTTGAGGTGGTTTCTTAGGCGCCTCAACAGCATTGAGGTAATTTTTGAGGTGGTTTTTGAGGCGCATCAAAAAGCCGCCTCGCCGGCCCATCGCCTCAAGGCGGCAGCTCTGCACACCGTGGCTGGTGCCACACCATGGCTGGTGCTGCCCTTGCCCTCCCACTGGGTGAGCGGCACACACCACTTGAGGTGGTATTTGAGGCGCCTCAACAGCATTGCGATGGTATTTAAGGCGCCTCGAAAACCTCCTCATGTGCCATCGCCTCAAGGGGGCTGCCCTCCCACTGGGCGAGCCGCACCACTCGCACTCACTAGGGGCGTTCTGCCATGCCGCCATGCCCACTCGCACTCACTAGGGGCGTTCCGCCGTGCTGCCATGCCCACTCGCACTCACTAGGGGCGTTCTGCCATGCCGCCATGCCCACTCGCACTCACTAGGGGCGTTCTGCCATGCCGCCATGCCCACTCGCACTCACTAGGGGCGTTCCGCCGTGCTGCCATGCCAACTCGCACTCATTAGGGGCGTTCCGCCTTGCTGCCATGCCCACTCGCACTCACTAGGGGCGTTCCGCCGTGCTGCCATGCCCACTCGCACTCACTAGGGGCGTTCCGCCGTGCTGCCATGCCAACTCGCACTCACTAGGGGCGTTCTGCCATGCCGCCATGCCCACTCGCACTCACTAGGGGCGTTCTGCCATGCCGCCATGCCCACTCGCACTCACTAGGGGCGTTCCGCCGTGCTGCCATGCCAACTCGCACTCATTAGGGGCGTTCCGCCTTGCTGCCATGCCCACTCGCACTCACTGGGGCTCTATGCTGCTCCCTCTATGTGCTGCTCCCTCTCTGTGCTGCTCCCTCTCTGTGCTGCTCCCTCTCTGTGCTGCTCCCTCTCTGTGCATGCCACCTGTTGCCACCCTCCGTCAAGCCTTGTGCACTGCCTTTGCCTGAGCCACACCAGTGCAGCTTTTTCTCGACCCGATTTATACACCAGCTTGTACCTTGCCAAAGCTGCTGTCACATGCCAAAGCTGCTGTCACATGCCAAAGCTGCTGTCACATGCCAAAGCTGCTGTCACATGCCAAAGCTGCTCCCATGTGCCAAACCTGCTCTCACATGCCAAACCTGCTCTTACATGCCAAACCTGCTCTCACATGCCAGACCTGCCCTCACATGCCAAACCTGCTCTCACATGCCAAACCTGCTCTCACATGCCAAACCTGCTCTCACATGCCAAACCTGCTCTCACATGCCAAACCTGCTCTCACATGCCAAACCTGCTCTCACATGCCAAACCTGCTCTCACATGCCAAACCTGCTCTCACATGCCAAACCTGCTCTCACATGCCAAACCTGCTCTAGCGTGTGCTCGCTCTCGCCTGCTCTCACTTGTCTGTGTGCAATTCACATGCTCGCTCTTGCTTCGCTGCAATGCAATTGTCCTTTTTCTTCTTGTCTCCCCTTCCCGTCACCTCCCACTCCCCAACCCACTCCCTCTAACCCCTCTCTCTCTCTCTGTGCCCCACCGGCAGCCCTCCTGCACTCAGCGCTCTACTCCTTGCTGCCCCAGCACCACAGCACAGCAGCACAGCACACGACTTCTGAGACATCTCAACAACCCACTCCCCCTGCCCCCTCTCTCTCTCTCTGTGCCCCGCCTGCAGCCCTCCTGCACTCAGCGCTCTACTCCTTGCTGCCCCAGCAGCACAGCACAGCAGCAGCACACGGCAGCAGTGGAGAGGGAGAGGGCGCTCAGGGGATTCCTCAGGAGAGATCTCAGGTGGACTCTCAGGTGGGCAGTGGCAGTAGCAGCAGTCCTCTCAGTGGCGGCGGCAGCGGCGGCGGTGTGGCGGGAGCCATTGAGCGCATGGAGGAACGATTCATGGGGTCTTTTGGGCACCTGGGGGGCAACCACGGAGGAGGGCGAGGAGGCGGGGTTGTGGGTAGAGAGGGTGTGGGCGGAGGAGAGGCGAGAGGGGAAGCTTCGGAGGGTGAGGCGGGAGGGCAGGAGTCATGCACGGTAGTGGCAGGGGAGAGCATGGGGAGCAGATGAGGGCACGGGGAGCAGTGGGGAGCAGTGGTGATCAGCAAATCTAATTACAAGTCTGAATGGTGTTTGAAGTCATGTGAAGCAGCAGCAGCAGCAGCGGTGGCGTGGCGGGTGCCATTGAGCGAATGGAAGAGCGATTCATGGGGTCGTTTGGTCAGATTGGGAGCAACCGCGGAGGAGGGAAGGAAGGCAAAGGGGGGGTGCCCAGGGAGGGTGAGAAGGACGGAGATGGAGAGATGAGACAGGAAAATCTAGACGGGGTGACAGGTGAAGCGGCAGAATCTACTCGAGGAAGAAGCGGCCGGCAGGTGATGTGTAGGGAGCAGCGGCGAGGGATGGAAACGAGTATACAGGTTTGAATAAATATGATTATGTGTTTTTAGATTATTGTATTCCACCAGGTATAGGCCCCTCCACTTTGGAGAAACAATGCAGTGTTACCTTTTTTGCTATCATGCAAAACATACCTGCACGGAAACAAGCCCTGGCTAGCCAATTTGTGGCCGAAGTGATCAATCATGCGATCCTATGATGACCTTTCTGAAAATTGCACATCAAACACTTTCTTAAAAGTGTATATCCATTTTGCAGATGCTACGGAGGCTGCTATTCTGGGATGGGTACCATATTCTAATGTTCATAGATCACTGATCTTCATACATCCAGTATTTTTTTTTATGATACCCGATTTATCAATTTAGTATCACATCAGCGATGGATATTTTCTTTTCCCACTTTCAATGCCAACAAACAAACCTCTTCCTCGCCACATAATGGCAGGTTGCTTTCACCACATAATACGTCATAAGATATTAGCCAATACTCAGTTCGCCAACGATTCGCTTTAGCGAGATGGCAATTATCCTCGTTGCCCGAGACAACTGGTGCTCCTGAACTGCTGTTGCTGCACGCCTGCGTCTCCCAACATAATCGTTCTGCAATCCTAGGTTCTGCAAATCGTCCTGTCCAAATTCGTGCTGCTTGCTAGCCCAGAGAGCGGCGCAGAACCGACCAGGGGCCACATGAGTGGGGCTGTCAGCTGAACGTTCGACTTGCTGCTGTGATTACCTCCTCCCTAGTGCACGCACCACGTAACTATGCACCCCTCACCCGTTTGGAGCGCGTAGCTGGGGAGCTCGACTGATGAGGGCCGCAGTGGTCGCGCGCAGCACGGCCCATGTCGTTCCTGTCACGGAAGTCGCGCCCATCACTCCCAGCCTTTACCGCGCTCAATCGCCGCGTCGAGGGTGTAGCGCGGTTGTTCGTTTCTCCCGCGCAACAGCGAGCCGCCGTTGTCACTCCCACGGAACTCGCACCGATCACTCTCTCTCATCCTCACCCGCGTTCAATCGCCGTGTCGAGGGTGTAGCGCGGTTGTTCGTTTCTCCCACACTACAGCGACTTTTGAGGTATGCTCTCCCTTGTATTGTGTTGTGCCTCAAAAACCCAGCACCACCTTGTCTGACGTGCGCAGCGCCGCAACGCGCTTGTTCCGCAACTAGGCGAGTTGGCGCAACCTAGTCTTCGCCTTGCTGAGATTCTTCCCCGTAACCGCAGATCCGAACGCCGTTGAAGGGAGCGTGCCCGAATCAAGCGATGCGGGGTGCCTCGTCTCGCACTCGTCGCCGCCTTTTCGCCTCGCTCACCCTCTTCGTGCCGATTATTCTCGTGCTCGCCACGTGTTCGCGCCTTTCCCTGCCACGTGTACACTTCTCGCTGCGCCTGGAATGGGCCAAAGGCCGCCCGTATCACGACGTTAGCACCAGCCCCCCTGGGAGCGACCTTGCGGTGCCAGGCGCGAGTCAACGGAGTCAACGGAGGGCCCTCGCTGTGAATCCGTCCGCCGCACCGCCGCCGCCGCCGCCGCCTCCCGTGTGCGAATGTCCCGCGTGCCCTGCCGGCGACAGTGGCCGCAGTGTTAGTGGGCCGGGCGGCGATGCGAGAAGCGGCGGTGGAGAGGGGACCGGTGCTGGAGGGGGAGGCGATGGTGGAGCGGAGGGGGGAGGCGAGGCGGCGTGGGGCGTTCCGAGTGCACCCGACGAGCATCAGCTTGTTTGCTGTCGTCAGCACTTACCGCACTGGCCAGGACAGGTGAGGCAAGGCACACAACAGGTGGACGACAGGTGAGGCAAGGCACACAACAGGTGGACGTAGGGATGAGCAAGGTGGCGAACACCTGTTCGGTTCGCCTCGAACAACAGGTTTTGTTTTTCAGCTTAAATCGTTCGCCCGAACGTGTTCGAGGTTCGCCCGAATACGTTCGTGTTCGTGGCGCTGCTGCAGAACGCCCCGTGGCGAACACGAACATGTTCGAGGTTCGCCCGAACACTCCTCCACAGACGAACAGCGAACACCTGTTTTTGCCTAAACTGTCCCCGAACCGAACAGTGTTCGGTTCGGCAAAAGAGGGTGTTCGAGAAGGGGAGAACACGAACATGTTCGTGTTCGCCCTTTGCTCATCCCTAGGTGGACGGCAGGTGAGGCAAGGCGCTGCTGTGTGTGGGACGACAGGTGAAGCGCGCTGAGCCAAGCCGGAAGGTACCAAAAGCTCGTCGCCTTGCGTGGCGCCATGCAGACGAGTCGAGCATATCTTTTTTTTTCTTAGAGTAGTTCTCAGAAAAACGAATTTAGCCATGCAGACGAGTCAAGCATCTCTCAAGCACCCTTCAACCCTCCGCGCTCGCACGGCGCGTCGCGCCGTCTGTACGCCACTTCAAAGTTCCTCACCGCTCTCCTCCCTGACCACCTTCACCATCTCCTCAGCTATCCCACTAAGAGCCACAAATTTCCATTCAACCCATGTTACCCATTAGTTCTGGATTACCGAACGTTCCAAGGTGCCCTCCCTCCCACCCTCCCACCCCATCCCATCCATATTCCTGTCAAGCGTTCCACGTTCCTCTCAATGCCCTCCCATCCCATCCGGGCAGCTTCATGGTGGTGGGGTGGGTGAGTCGCCTCGCCGCTGGGCGGTCAGGTGCACTTCGAGCCATTCAAACCATCTTCACCGTTACTTGGATAATCAAAGCCTCCACGTTCCTCGCCCTCCCCTCCCTCCCATGCGTGCTGTTGCTGGGCAGCTTCATGGTGGTGGGGTGGGTGAGTCGCTGCTGGGCGCTCAGGTGCACTTCATACCAATCTGACCCGTTACGTTGAATAACCAAATGTTTTGTTCCATGTTGGCCTCCCTCCCCTCCCCTGCCTGCCTGCCTCAGCTTCATGGTGGTGGGAGAGTCGCTGCTGGGCGCTCATCTGCACTTTGCGGGCGCACTGGTGGACGAGTGCATGTGGCAGGGCGAGGGGGAGGGGGACGGGGGAGGGAAGGAGCCCACGGTCGTTACTCCAGCACAGACCTTGCATGTGAGTGGCACGCGCGTGGCATGACCAAGCATGTGAGTGGCATGTGAGTCGCTGCTGGGCGCTCAGCTGCACTTTGCTGGTTCGCTGGTGGACGAGGGCGTATGGCAGGGGTGGGGGAGGAGGGGGGGGGGGGGGAGAGCACGGGGGAAGAAGGGACCTCCAGTTGTTGCTCCTGCAGAGACCTTGCATGTTAAGTGCCAGGGGCAGGCATGTGAGTAACACGGGATGTGGTTGGCACGGCACGTGAGTCGCTACTGGGCGCACAACTGCACTTGGCTGGCGCACTGGTGGACGAGTGTTTGTGGCAGGGCGAGGGGGCGGAGCAAGGGGGAGAAAAGGAGCCTCCGGTCGTTGCTCCAGCAGAGACCTTACATGTGAGTGGCATGGGTAGTGATGTGAGTGGCACGTGAGTCGCTACTGGGCGCACAACTGCACTTGGCTGGCGCACTGGTGGACGAGTGTTTGTGGCAGGGCCAGGGGAAGGGGCAAGGGGGAGACATGGGACCTTTTAGACCTTGTATGTGAGTGGCATGGGTGGCCAAGACAAGGAGGGAGGGTGATAAGTGTGTGTCGCAGACAAAAAGGTTTGTTTCTAGCAGAAAATCAGCAGACTGATTTAAGAGGTGCGACAGACCTGGTAGCAGAAGGGATGATTTGCAACATTCACGGCTAGTGGAGTGGTGTTTCTTTTGGACCATGCAACTTTTGAGTCCACTCAAAAGTCACCTCAATATTCACGGCTAGTGGAGTGGTGTTTCTTTTGGACCATGCGACTTTTGAGTCGACTCAAAAGTCACCTCAATATTCACGGCTAGTGGAGTGGTGTTTCTTTTGGACCATGCGACTTTTAAGTCGACTCAAAGGTCACCTCAATATTCACGGCTAGTGGAGTGGTGTTTCTTTTGGACCATGCGACTTTTGAGTCGACTCAAAGGTCACCTCAATATTCACGGCTAGTGGAGTGGTGTTTCTTTTGGACCATGCGACTTTTGAGTCGACTCAAAAGTCACCTCAATATTCACGGCTAGTGGAGTGGTGTTTCTTTTGGACCATGCGACTTTTGAGTCGACTCAAAGGTCACCTCAATATTCACGGCTAGTGGAGTGGTGTTTCTTTTGGACCATGCGACTTTTAAGTCGACTCAAAGGTCACCTCAATATTCACGGCTAGTGGAGTGGTGTTTTTTTTTGGACCATGCGACTTTTGAGTCGACTCATAGGTCACCTCAATATTCACGGCTAGTGGAGTGGTGTTTCTTTTGGACCATGCGACGTTTAAGTCGACTCAAAGGTCACCTCAATATTCACGGCTAGTGGAGTGGTGTTTCTTTTGGACCATGCGACTTTTGAGTCAACTCATAAGTCACCTCAATATTCACGGCTAGTGGAGTGGTGTTTCTTTTGGACCATGCGACTTTTGAGTCGACTCAAAGGTCACCTCAATATTCACGGCTAGTGGAGTGGTGTTTCTTTTGGACCATGCGACTTTTAATTCGACTCAAAGGTCACCTCAATATTCACGGCTAGTGGAGTGGTGTTTCTTTTGGACCATGCGACTTTTGAGTCGCCTCAAAAGTCACCTCAATATTCACGGCTAGTGGAGTGGTGTTTCTTTTGGACCATGCGACTTTTGAGTCGACTCAAAAGTCACCTCAATATTCACGGCTAGTTGAGTGGTGTTTCTTTTGGACCGTGCGACTTTTGAGTCGACTCAAAGGTCACCTCAATATTCACGGCTAGTGGAGTGGTGTTTCTTTTGGACCATGCGACTTTTGAGTCGACTCAAAGGTCACCTCAATATTCACGGCTAGTGGAGTGGTGTTTCTTTTGGACCATGCGACTTTTGAGTCGACTCAAAGGTCACCTCAATATTCACGGCTAGTGGAGTGGTGTTTCTTTTGGACCATGCGACTTTTAAGTCGACTCAAAGGTCACCTCAATATTCACGGCTAGTGGAGTGGTGTTTCTTTTGGACCATGCGACTTTTGAGTCAACTCATAAGTCACCTCAATATTCACGGCTAGTGGAGTGGTGTTTCTTTTGGACCATGCGACTTTTGAGTCGACTCAAAAGTCACCTCAATATTCACGGCTAGTGGAGTGGTGTTTCTTTTGGACCATGCATAGAAACAGCCTGCCTCCAAAAAACAGCCTGCCTCCGAAAAACAGCCTGCCTCCGAAAAACAGCCTGCCTCCAAAAAACAGCCTGCCTCCAAAAAACAGCCTGCCTCCAAAAAACAGCCTGCCTCCAAAAAACAGCCTGCCTCCAAAAAGCAGCCTGCCTCCAAAAAACAGCCTGCCTCCAAAAAACAGCCTGCCTCCAAAAAACAGCCTGCCTCCAAAAAACAGCCTGCCGTGAAGAAAAATCAGAGGAAGGCTGGTGTTTGGTTCATTGGCCCTTTTTGTTTGTTGGATCGTTGTGTGGGTTGTTTTACGATAACGGTTTGCAGGTGAATCATTCGGCACTTGGCAGTTCAATTGAATACTCAACATCTCCCGTGAATGGCTCATGCACAATTGGGGAAGGTAGACCTCATCTTATGCGTTCAAAAGGAAACCACCTGTTGTGTTGGATGGCATCACTGATGGTGAGTGCAATTCAATTTAGACATGGGCAACAGGTCGGGCCGGGTCGACCCGTACCCGTTTTGAGTGACCTGTGATGGGTACGGGTACAGGTCGGGTCGACCCGCGGGTCGCTATCCTGGCTATTCTAGTGACCCGTCCCGTCTATACATGCACGGGTCGATTGTGACCCGTGGCGGGTCGGGTCAACCCGTAAACGGGACGGGTATCAGTGACCCATTTAGGCCTTAGGGTTTTTTTCGAGCATACATGGTTTTTTTTCTGATGTGTACATGCAAAATATAGTGTTGAACTGAAATTTTGCATGAATGATTAAGTATGCATAACTTTCGTTGGCTTTCAGTTAAGTTTCTTCGTCAAGGAATCTGCAGTAGTTGTAAGGCTTAGGTCTAAGACAAGATCTGGTTAGTCGCAACCAGATCTGAAGTTGGAGGTTCGAAATGTCGACCCGCAATGACCTAAAACTTGGAATGACATTTGCGGGTCCCGTTCCACCCGCAAACGGGTCGGGTCCCGCAAATGTCATTCCAAGTTTTTCCGTCGGGTCCCAACCCGTTTTTCCTAGTAACGACCCGTATATGGAACAGGCCGTTCTCCCCCTACGGGTCGCACGGGTCGGCCCGTCCCGTTCGAATGGGGTTAAAACGGGTCACGGGTCGACCCGACCCGTCCCGGACAGGTCGACCCGTACCCGCGGGTCGGCATGTCTTGGCAATCCGACCCGTCCTGCCAAAAAATGCGGGACGGGACGGGTCGACCCGACCCGTCGGGTATTATGCCCATGTCGAGCCTGAGCTCTGCTTCCCCATGCGTCTCATTCCAGCGCTACCTCTCATCTCTGCACTGCTGGTTTGTTGTCCTGCGATGTCATCATCGGCTGACTTCCACCTCCGCACTTTGAAGCGCCTCAAAACTCTAGTTTTTTTGGAAGGCGCCTCAAAACTAGTTTGCTATCATGGAATGCCATCATCGGCTGTCTTCCACCTCCGCACTTTGAAGCGCCTCAAAACTCTAGTTTTTTTGGAAGGCGCCTCAAAACTAGTTTGCTATCATGGAATGCCATCATCGGCTGTCTTCCACCTCCGCACTTTGAAGCGCCTCAAAACTCTAGTTTTTTTGGAAGGCGCCTCAAAACTAGTTTGCTATCATGGAATGCCATCATCGGCTGTCTTCCACCTCCGCACTTTGAAGCGCCTCAAAACTCTAGTTTTTTTGGAAGGCGCCTCAAAACTAGTTTGCTATCATGGAATGCCATCATCGGCTGTCTTCCACCTCCGCCTTAAGAGGCGCCTCAAAAGTCGCCTCGAAACTCTTTTTTTTTGGGGAGGCGCCTCGAAACAAGTTTGCTGTCCTGCAATGCCATCATCGGCTGTCTTCTACCTCCGCCCTTCTCTAAGCAGTAAGCCCCGCCCCGGACCTTCTTCCTTCCCCTCTGACCTTTCCCTTTCCACACCAACAGCACCCTGCTTGGTATCGTGCATGCAGAACCAGCAGCACCCTGCTTGGTATTGTGCATGCAGAACCAGCAGCACCCTGCTTGGTATTGTGCATGCAGAACCAGCAGCACCCTGCTCGGTCTAAAACATACAGCAGGACAGCATGGTAGAGCCATGGCTTGTGGCAGCAGCTGCAGTCGAGGCGGTGAAGGATAGAGGCAGTCAGGCAAGTTGGCACGGGATGGGAGAGAAGAGCGAGGCCGTGTCTTCCATTTACATCCCTCTCTCCCACCCAACTCCCACCCTCGGCCCCCCACCCTTCCTTCCTTCCTTCCATGGCACTGTTGTGTGTTAGATCAGTTATCACAACCCCATTCACGTCAACGATTCTTCTTACAAAAACGCAGATAACAGCTCTCATAGCTCAGTTGGTTAGAGCACCCGTTTAGTAAGCGGGAGGTCTTGAGTTCAACTCTCAATGAGAGCAATGGCACCAGTCAATTGTCTTACCCCTCCCTTTCTGCCTCTTCACGCATTTATCTTCCCCTTTGCTTCCTAGCCATCTCACCATACCCATCGCACCATCAGGCCCCACTTCGCCCTCCCTCCCACATCACCCAATCTTTCCCTCCAAGTGTCTCTACCCCTCACGCATCCCCCTCCTCCTGCCCACCTTTACCTTCCCCTTTGCTCCCCCACCATCTCACCGTACCCATCACACCCTCAGGCACCACGTCTCCCTCCCTCCCACATCACCCATCTTCCCCTCCATGCCCCTATCGCCCTCCGCTGCTGCTCATATATATATGTCTCCCTGCTCCCTCTCCTCCTCCCCCCTACCTCCCAGCGACTGCTACCAGCAGCCGCTTCGCCCTGGTGGCATGGCGTGGAGGTACGGCGAGCCAGGGGAGGTGATGCTTGGGGCATGGCAGAACCACGATGCTACCAGCAGCTGCCTCGCCCTGGTGGCATGGCGTGGAGGTACGGCGAGCCAGGGGCACCGTCACAACCAGGATTGCCGCATTGGTCATGATTGGCTCTCCAAGTTGGAATGTCTTTAATGCGAAACGCGGTAGGCAGCATCGCAGAGCCATGCATGCCGCAGAAACAGTGGTGGCGGGTTGAAGCCGGTCAACTGTGGTGAAGCCAGTCAACGGTGGCATGGCGTGGAGGTACGGCGAGCCAGGGGCACCGTCACAACCAGGATTGCCGCATTGGTCATGATTGGCTCTCCAAGTTGGAATGTCTTTAATGCGAAACGCGGTAGGCAGCATCGCAGAGCCATGCATGCCGCAGAAACAGTGGTGGCGGGTTGAAGCCGGTCAACTGTGGTGAAGCCAGTCAACTATGGTGAAGCCGGTCAACTGTGGTGAAGCCGGTCAACTGTGGTGAAGCCAGTCAACTGTGGTGAAGCCGGTCAACTGAGGTGAAGCCAGTCAACTGTGGTGAAGCCAGTCAACTGTGGTGAAGCCAGTCAACTGTGGTGAAGCCGGTCAACTGTGGTGAAGCCAGTCAACTGTGGTGAAGCCGGTCAACTGTGGTGAAGCCAGTCAACTGTGGTGAAGCCAGTCAACTGTGGTGAAGCCAGTCAACTGTGGTGAAGCCGGTCAACTGTGGTGAAGCCGGTCAACTTTGGTGCAGCCAGTCAACTGTGGTGAAGCCAGTCAACTGTGGTGAAGCCAGTCAACTGTGGTGAAGCCGGTCAGCTGCGGTGAAGCCAGTCAACTGTGGTGAAGCCGGTCAACTGTGGTGAAGCCAGTCAACTGTGGTGAAGCCGGTCAACTGTGGTGAAGCCAGTCAGCTGCGGTGAAGCCGGTCAACTGTGGTGAAGCCAGTCAACTGTGGTGAAGCCGGTCAACTGTGGTGAAGCCGGTCAGCTCTGGTGAAGCCAGTCAGCTGCAACTTGCCAGTGGAAAGAGTCTGGCAGGTGAATGTGCCAATGAAGGGGGGGTGATTGGTGGGGGATGCAGCTGGGGTGGGCGGAGATCGTAAAGGATGTGTGGGGTGTTAATCGATGGGTGGAAAGGGTTGAGGGACCGGGGAGGTAGGCAGGCTGGATATCGGCAAGGTGAGAGTCAGTGCAGGGCGAAGGAGATGCGTGTAGTGTAGGAGCCACTCTCGAGTCACTCACTCTCAAGTCACTCACTCTCGAGTCACTCACTCTCGAGTCACTCACTCTCAAGTCACTCACTCCCGAGTCACTCACTCTTAAGTCACTCACTCTCAAGTCACTCACTCTCAAGTCACTCACTCTCAAGTCACTCACTCTCAAGTCACTCACTCTCAAGTCACTCACTCTCGAGTCACTCACTCTCGAGTCACTCACTCTCGAGTCACTCACTCTCAAGTCACTCACTCTCGAGTCACTCACTCTCAAGTCACTCACTCCCGAGTCACTCACTCTCAAGTCACTCACTCTCAAGTCACTCAGTCTCGAGTCACTCACTCTCAACTCACTCACTCTCAACTCACTCTCAACTCACTCACTCTCAAGTCACTCACTCTCAACTCACTCACTCTCAAGTCACTCACTCTCAACTCACTCACTCTCAAGTCACTCACTCAACTCACTCACTCTCAAGTCACTCACTCTCAACTCACTCACTCTCAACTCACTCACTCTCAATTCACTCACTCTCAACTCACTCACTCTCAAGTCACTCACTCTCAAGTCACTCACTCAAGTCACTCACTCTCAAGTCACTCACTCTCAAGTCACTCACTCTCAAGTCACTCACTCTCAAGTTACTTTCGAGTCACTCTCGAGTCACTTTCGACTCGAGTCACTCGCCGTCGATGGTGGGAGGGGGGAAGTTGACTAGTTGTTTCTAAGCTTTGCTACTGAAAGGCTGTGAGAGTTAGTGGAGGAAGCTGATGGACAGACCAGGTTGCTATCCATTCATGAGCCGAATCAAAAATCGGGTCATCACACACAGTTGACTAGTTGTCTCTAAGGCTCGCTGCTGCAAGGCTGTGAGAGTTAGTGGAGGAAGCTGATAGAGAGACCAGGTTGCATTTTCCGTCCATTCATTTCCCCCACCTCCGCTCCTATTGCCTCCCTTCCCCTCCCGAATCCCGATACCCTCGTCCTAACCAGCCCCCATTCGCATCCTCCCATCCCTTATCCCATCCATTCAGCCTTGCGTTTGAACATCCCACTCCGACTTGTGACCTCTGACATGACATCTGGCGTTACCACACAAGGTGACTTTTGAGTCGAATCAAAAGTCGACTTGTGACCCCTGACTTCTGCCGTTACCACACATGTGCAGTGCTCACCCCTCCCTTGGCCTATGTTGGATTATACGCTCTAGACCCTTTGCGTTTAGCGTATCTACGCTAGCGTGTACACGCAATACGCTAAACGCTAGCAAATACGCAATACGCAGCCATAATTTTTTTCGGGCAGCCCGGAAAAGTAAAATCGGGAAAAGATGCGGATTTTCTTGGTGAACATTTCGCCGGAGTCGAAATGCAAATCCGCGGTCTATGCAAGCTGGGATCTGATTTCGAAGTTTTCAGGCACATCTGGCTATTCAAATGTCGAATTTCAGGTCCCATCTAGGCAGGCATTTGAACCCATCCCCTCTACCGCATTGAAAACCATCTTATCTACGAACTCCAACCTATCAAAATCGAACCCCCAACAAACCTCACGCTACTTACCAGCCAGCCCAACTCCTAACCCGTCATTCCTACCTTGCATTCCCGCTTGCAGCAGTGTCCCCGCGCGCGCACTCCAACTTGAACAGCCTCTCCAACACTACTCCCTATAGCTATGATGTCTACTCCCCGCCCCACCCCACCCGCCGATCGGACTCAGGAAAATGCTAGGGCACGTCTTAGTGAGATGTTTTTTCCACCGATAGGGATTTTTTCCACCCTGCCCGAAATGTTTTTTCCCTGCCCGAAAAAGCGTATGCTTGATCCGACCCTCAAGCGTATGGCATATACACGCTAGCGTATATACGATACGCATATATACGCTAAACGCGTATAATCCATCATAGCCCTTGGCCTCTATCCCTCTTGATGGTACTTTTGAGATTTCTCAAAAGTACCATCAACGTTGATGTTACCACACATATGTGCAGTACTCACCCTTCCCTTGACCTCTATCCCTCCTTCTCCATCGTACCGACCAGTGCCCCACCTTCTTACCTTACACGGACTCATTGATTCACGCCCCTACGGCACTGTCTCCCACATTGAGTTGAATTTCAAGGCACCTCAAAACTGAGTTGAATTTTGAGGCGCCTCAAAATTAAATCCCCCAGCGCCCCACCTTCTTACCTTACACGGACTCATCGATTCACGCCCCTACGGCACTGTCTCCCACATCCCTCCCCTCTAGCTCTGCAGCTCGTTTTCGAGGCGCCTCATTTTTTAGGCGCCTCAAAAATCGTCTCCCACATCCCTTCCCCCTAGCTCTGCAGCTGGTTCTCATTTACCGACTTCCAGCCCACAGCCGCAACCCTACGGCTCTGTCTACCCATCCCTCTCATAAACCACTTCTGCTTTTCTTCCTTTCCTCTCCCATTCCTCCTTCCCCCTAGCACTTCACCTGCTCTCCTAGACCCACGTCTAGCCCACAGGTTTTGGCCCACAGATAAGCCACCCTCGTCTAGCCCACTGCACAGACTCACCTCCCACAGCGCAGGCGCACTCCTCACCCAGACGCCCCTCCCTTCCGCATACCCTCTCCCTTCCACCCTCCCCTTCCTCACCTCTTCCTTCTCTGCAAATGCTTCTCCTATGCCAGTGGTTGCCGCACGGATTTCTGAAGAAATAATCCACTTCTCAAGAGGAACATGAGGGCTGCTGAGTGCACTTCTTGAAAGGGATGTAACGCACCTTTCCTTCACCGCCGTTGCCCTTTTCACTTCCCTCCACCCGACCCCACACCACCTCGTGAAAGAAGAGTGTTTTTGAGTCGACTCAAAGCACTTCTTGAAAGGGATGCAGCGCACCTTCCCTTCACCGCCGTTGCCCTCTTCACTTCCCCTGCACCCGTCCCCCCCCACCTCTGCACTTGCTTCTCCCACACCGACTTGTTCCCCCCCAAACTTCGGTGCTCCTACAATATTGCCATGCCATCCACATCTCTCTCATAGCCCTTTTCTCCATCCCTCAATGCCATTGTCTTCCCAGCGGTGCTGTTTGCCCTTCTCAGAAGTCACCTACGATATTCTCTTCCACATCTCTCTCGTAGCCCTTTTCCCTATCTCTCTCATAACCCTTTTCTCCATCCCACAATGCCATTGTCTTCCCAGCGGTGCTGTTTGCCCTTTTCGTCCTTTCCTCTCCCCTTCCCTACCCCCACACCTCCCGCCCACCCCCCAGCACTGACTCCGCACCTGCTTCTCCTACACCTACTTCTGTGCCATAGACTCCCATCCCTATGCCATGGCCGCACTGTTCGCCCCCACAGCAGCACAGTAGAGGCTGCTGACGTGGCAGATGTGCGCGAGAGGCTGCAGGCGAAGCTGGGCCAGGCCGGGCTGCTGGGCGCCTCGTGGCGTGGTTTGAGGAGTGACGACGAGCAAAGGAAGGAGGAGGTACGTTCGGAGGGAGTGAAGGAGCTGGGCTGTTTGATACTTGTGAGTCAACGGTGACGATTAAAATTAGGCTAGTACTGTTATGATAATATTGTGTGCTCATGCCGGAGTGGTTATCGGGACAGACTAGAAATCTGTTGGGCTCTGCCCGCGCAGGTTCGAATCCTGCTGAGCACGTGCACCTATTACTTTTGTGTCCGCTGAGGAAGATGTAATCAGAATCTGTCCTTCGAGCTATTTCTGCATCAAAAAAATTTTGCACTTCAAAACTTGACGTGACTGGTGCATGAAAACAAATATCAAGGGGTTGTGTGTTCCCTCTCCCTCACTTGCTCTCTTCCCCCTCATCCCTCCCCTTCAGTATCCCTCTTTCTCTCTTACTGTCTCTCTGTCCCATCCCTCTATAGGCCATCCTTCACTGCAACCCATATGCCCTCTCCTGTTGGGCCCTCTCGCACCTTCTCTTCTCCCTGGCCCCACTCTCACTTGCAGCTCTCTCATTGGCTCATCATCTCCCCAGAATTTCCCCTCAGTCCCCTAGAGTACCGGCTAGCTCTCGTTTGTTGCCCCTTCCCCCTCTCCCACCCACCTGCTCCCACATTCATCCTCTCTTTTCCTCCCCACTCTCCCCCCTGTCCCTCCCCACTCCACTCTCCCCCCCTTCCCTCCCCTCCCCAATCTCCTCCCCTTCTGTCCCCATCTTGGCCCCTTCCCTCCCCACCCTTCCCTCTTTCCCCTCCCCCAGCTCTCTGATTGGCTTATCACCGGCCCAGGCTCTCCCCTCAATCCCCGTGACTACCAACTTACCCCCACCTGTGCTGCGCAGTGCAATGCAGTGGAGACCGTTAGAGACATGTTCCTCTCCTTTCCTGAGGAGTTGCGTGCAAAAAAGGTAGGTGGGATTTGAACACTTAGTGGGGTTGATTGTTGGGTGCGGTTGAGTGCGGTTGACTGAGGTGTCTTGCCCTCTGAACCAACTGCCCTTCCAGCCAATGATGTGCAGTGCAACGCGGTGGAGACCGTTTAAGCAATGTTTTTTTCTTTCCCTAGCAGTATTTTCATTCGCTCATCCTCAGCGCGATTGGGTAAAAACCGATTGTTTTTCTCTCTGCCCGCTTGTGAATCACGTGCATGTTAGAGTGCTCATTCATTTTGCTAGGCGAAGGCAGGCGCACAAGCTAGAGCAAGAACTGGAATGGCTGCGTTATCAAGGGGCACCTAAGAATATACCCTGTATTGGGCCAATCTTCAGGGGTTAATAACCCAACAAAGGGGATTATAATAAAAGGGGCTGCATGGGATAGGTTTGATGGGGCAATAGCGAGCGAGGGAGAAGAGGACGGTGGAGAGGAGGGAGGGGGGAGGAAGGAAGGAAGGGGATGTGGTTGGGGGTGATTCGGATTGGTTCTAGGAGGAGGAGGGGAAGGAAGTCTCAAGGAAGGAGCGGTTGGGGAACTTGTTAGAGGAGATTCGATGTTGCAAGAAATGAAGGGGAAGGTGAGTGTACAGAAAGGGTGATTATAACAAGAAGACGGTTTCTATAAGGTGTTTATAATAGCAATAAGGAGCGGTTGAAGCAAGTGCTGGAGGCTGATCAAATGTTGCAAGAAACGTTCAGCCATGAGGGCCGGGCGAGCTGCAGCCACGAGTTTTGAGACATCTCAAACCTTGGTTGGAGCAAGTGCTGGAGGCAGATCAAATGCTGAAAGAGATGTATTTTTCTCACGGTTGAACCCTTAAACCGGTTGAGGCGTGGTTGAGGCGGTTCAAAATACACCTCAATGCTCGCGGTTGGAGCAAGTGGTGGAGGCTGATCAGATGTTGCCAAGAAACGAAGGAGAAGGTGAGTGCACGCTAGTCTCAATTGCTATGTGTATGATATGCCAAGCTCCCCTGCTCCTCTATGCATCTCCACCCACCGCCAGGGAATGATGCCTGTCAAGTTTCCTAACCAGCCTCAGCAAGGCTCATGTGTGTGTGTGTGTGTGTGTGTGTGTGTGTGTGTGTGTGTGTGTGTGTGTGTGTGTGTGTGTGTGTGTGTGTGTGCGTGCGCGCGCGCGCGCATGTGTGTGTGTGCGTGTGTGTGCCACACGCACACAAACACTTGCTATTATATATTATATATGTCAGGTTCCCGTGCTCCTACATGCATCTCCACTCGCCGCCAGGGAATGATGCCTGCCTCACGACTCAAAAAACAATTCTTATATATCAGCAGCACCCCCCCCCTCCTCTTATCCCCGTCCAAAGGGAATGTTGCTGACGAAGTTGCTTACAATGCCGCCCTCAGCAGGCTTGGGGAAAAATAACGTATTGGTTTGAAACTTTTTTTAATTCTCTAAGTAAAATTGGAGCCGTATCTCGTGCGCATGCATGCGGGCAGAGGGCGGGCAGCCCAGCGGGCAGCCCAGCAGTGTGGCGTACAACGTCCTTATTGGTGCATATGTGCTCGCCGGGCAGTTTGGGAAACGGACCTGTGTATTGAGGTGATGTGGGGAGCAGGAGAAAGGCGAAATTTGAAGACCTAGTGGGCCTTGATGGGTCGATATGCGAAGTGAGGAACGGTTGAGAGGTTTAACGAAGTGTGGGAAGAGGTGAAGCAGGCTGGACCGCCTCTGGATAGGTGAGACTGAGTTTTTGAGCTCTGGTGGGGGTTGGGTGTGTGTGGGGGTGTTGATGGGGTGGGGGTGGGGGCGTGTGTATGGGTGTGTGTGTGTGGGTGTTGGTGTGAGTGTGGGTGTGGTGGGGTGTGTGTGTGTGTCTGTGTGTGTGTGTGTGTGTGTGTGTGTGTGTGTGTGTGTGTGTGTGTGTGTGTGTGTGTGTGTGTGTGTGTGTGCGCGTGTGTGCGTGCGTGTGTGTGTGTGTGTGCTTGGGCATGGGGCTAGGGAATGTTGTAAGTGTGCATGGAAACTTAGTCTACACCTCATAAATACATCACATGTAGATTTCTGCTCGCTCCCGTGTTCCTTGACCCCCTTCTTCCTCTTCCCCCTCTCAATGTCATTGCCATTTTGTCTGCTCCTAAATAACACATCACTTTTGTGTTCCTGACTTGGTGAACCTCTGCTCGCTCCCATGTTCCTTGACCCCCTTCTTCCTCTTCCCCCTGTCAAGAAAGCCTAACCCCAAACCCCTTCGTTCTGACCATCTTATCCCCAATCTTTTTTTCTTGTGGGTGCATGCACCAGCCTCGAATTCAGGTTCCCGTGTTTCTCCAGTGTCCCCTACCTCCTCAAGCCAGAACCATGTCAACATGCCAGTAAGAGACGTATTGTACCGTACTGCACCATACCGTACCACATCAAGGACCTGTCCTGTATCAGTAGCGGTCGGTACCGTCCTACTTCCAGCACTGTTAAAGCTTGACCCTTCAAGCTGCTGCTAACCATTTGGCTGCACGAAACGAGATGTCTAGGCTAGATGCTATTATGGAACAAATATCTCAACATAGAGACACTGAGGACTGAACATAGAGACACTGAACACTACACAGTGTGCTTCCTATCAGCCATAACGCGCATGATGCAGCCCAGCCCTGCCTTCTCCGTCAGCTTCTCATGCACCCGCAGCGCCCGCGCGCACAGCGATGCATCCCCTGTTCTCAGTGCGCGGTACAGGTACCTGCAGGGGGGGCACGGCGATGTGGGGGGGGGGCACGTGAGAGTGGAGGGACACAGGGGGGTGCAGGGCGGGGGCACGGCACAGTGGGGTGAAGGAGCACACAGCGATGGGTCCCCTGTCCACAGGAAAAGCATCAGGAGCAATTACAAGGAGCAAGTACAAGGAGCAAGTAACAGCAAGTACAAGGAGCAAGTAACAGCAGCAGTGGACAGAGCAGCAAAAACAGTTGAGAAAGCAGCAACAAAAGGGGAGCACAACGAGAGAGATCTCTTGGCTGCTACACATTTTGCTGGCCAAGGGGGGATCTCTTGGCCGCTACACATTTTGCTGGCCAAGGGGGCGCAATCATCGCCCTCTGCACCACATTATTTCCCTTTTCTATGATTTTCAGGCTTGAACCATGTGCTGCGAGATTAGTGAACGGGGCCCAATGCATCAACAGGTGTATTTTAGTTGCACTAGGTCAGACCACCCCACTCCATCCCACTGGCAAATCTGCACTACGCACACACACAGCACTCACCGCATAAGTGTGTCACACCCCTCGGACTTGAGCCCTGCAATGGCCCCATCCACATCCTCCACTGCGACCAGCGCCCGCTGCACCACCTCCCAGTTGGCATCCTGCCCACCCCTCACCGGCAGATGGAAAAGAAAAGAATGAAATGGAACGGGTTTAGAGAAGGCAACGGAGGTTGGGGCAGATGAAACCCCCCTGCACCACCTCCCAGTTGGCATCCTGCCTCTCACCAGCACAGCAGGGCACGCAATGGAAGGGAGTTAGTTAACGAGTCAAGGGAGGTTTGGCGAATGATGAGTAAAAGGGAAAAGGTTAAACCCCTGTCCAACACCCGCTGCTATGAAGAGCTGGCATCCGTCAGCGTGCCGCCCCACTCTCTCACCTCAGCAGCATGGTGAAACACGACGGCTGAACAGAGCTGACTTTTGAGCTGACTCAACAGTCATCTCTCACCTCAGCAGCATGGTGAAACACGACGGCTGAACATGGGAGGTCTAGATTCTGAACTTAATAATCTCAACACTTGATAGTTTTTGTGTGTTCTGGGTTCCAACGGGCACAACAAGTCAACAGCCGATTTTTGAGTCGACTCCAAAATCAACAGGCACTGCAAGGCACAGCGAGTCAAAATCAACAGGCACTGCAAGGCACAGCGAGTCAAAATCAACAGGCACTGCAAGGCACAGCGAGTCAAAATCAACAGGCACTGCAAGGCACAGCGAGTCAAAATCAACAGGCACTGCAAGGCACAGCGAGTCAAAATCAACAGGCACTGCAAGGCACAGCGAGTCAAAATCACGAGTACATCCGAGGCGCAGCAATTGGCAGCAATCGGCAATCGGCAGCGTATGATGATACACTCCTTCACCGCAGTGAACGAACGTGAGTACCAACATGTGCGCCAGCCCACACACGCATTAAAGAATCGGCCTGCTTACATTACAATATGTACGGGGTGGGGTGGGCAGGCTTCACAAGCAAAGCAGGTAATGTAAGAAGCCATGAAGCAACGCACCTGGTGCTTCTGTTTCGAGACGTCTCAAAACACGCTACACAAGCAAAGCAGGTAGTATGCAAGAAGCCACGCACCTGGTGCTTCTGCACCTTGCTACGGGGTGGGCACTGGGCAGCCATACGCACCTTGCATTTCTGGTCCCGCGTGGCGATGGGCGGGTCGCTCACAGCCGCCTTGAGCGCCTCTGGCACTCGACCCCTGCACGCCCGTGCACCCAAGAAAGGGGAGGGGGGGGGGGAGGGGGAGGGGGGAAGGCACCGGGTGACCGGGAGGAGAAGGGATGACAATGGGCGGGTCACTCACAGCTGCCTTGAGCGCCTCTGGCACTCGACCCCTGCAGGTTTGATGCACGCAGGGGGGGAAGGGGGTAGTGGGGAGAGAGGAGGGGGACAAGCACAACATCACGCTCACAGCCGCCTTGAGCATCTCTGGCACTCGACCCCTGCAAGCCCAATGCGCCTGGGGAGAGGGGGGGGACGGGGGGCGAGGAAGGGAAGGTTGGGGGAGGTGGAGGGAGAAGGGGTGGCGATGGGCGGGTCACTCACAGCCGCCTTGAGCGCCTCTGGCACTCGACCCCTGCAGGGCAGGCCGCGTGCACCCGAGAAAGTGGGGAGAAGGGAGGGGGACGGGAGGTGAGGGGGGAGGAAGATGGGGGACAAGTGCACCATCACGCCCACAACCGCCTTTGAGCGCCTCTGGACACGACCCCTGCAGGGCAGGGCAGGCCTGTGCACGCGGGGAGGGAAGATGGGGCAAGGGGGAAGAGGATGGAGGGGGAGGGCGGGGGTGGGATGGGGACAAGTGCACCATCACGCTCACAGCCGCCTTGAGCGCCTCTGGCACTCGACCCCTGCAGTGGGGTGTTTTTGAGAATTCTCAAAAACCGCCTTGAGCGCCTCTGGAACTCGACCCCTGCAGTGGGGTGTTTTTGAGAATTCTCAAAAACCGCCTTGAGCGCCTCTGGCACTCGACCCCTGCAGTGCAGGCCGCGTGAATTCGAAGAGGGGGTGATTGTGGGGGAGGGGCGGGAGGAATGAGTGTACCATTACGGTAAAGTGTGGGAACAGCCGGGTGAATGGGGTGAATGGGGGGAGCGGGAGGGGTGAATGCAGGGAGCGGGAGGAAAGAAAGCAAGGGGCAAGAGGGGAGAACGGAGGGAGTGAGAGGGGAGAATGTAGGGAGCGAGATGGGCGAATGGGGGGAGCGAGAGAGCCGTACGGAGGGAGTGAGAGGGGCGAATGCACGGGCTGAGGAGGGACGAGAGGGGACGTGGGGTTGAGTGGTCGAATGGCAGGCGACGCAAAAGGAGTAGCTCACGCGGGAGGAGCAGCTCACTCGGAGAGGAAGTGCGCGACGCGCTGCGAGCGGTCGTCGATCTTGGCGAGGATCTCCTCGGGGCTCTCCGCGTCGGCGTCGTCGTCCGACCCCATCGCCAGCTCCTCCTCCTCCGCCATCCCCGCCGCTCCGCGCTACGCCCCGCTGCCCGCTGTCCGCTGCCCGCTGCACGCCCGCCCAGGTACGTCCCGCTGTCGCCACCCGCTCCACTACGCGCTGCGTTCCGCTGCCCGCCACACACCTGCCACCACCCGCTGGCCCCCCTGAGTGTCGCTACGAGGCCGCGACTGTGTAGCAGGTACTGTGAGGCTCAAGTGGGTGGTTCGCCAAATGAACCCAAATGCTAGACCTCGCCTAGAGGTGGTACAGCAACACTAGAAGCGGTGGGGAAGGCTCACCTATCGTTCAGAGCTATGCTGAATAATACAAGAATCAGGGAAGGAATGTGCGAGGACGGGATGTAGGAAACTAGGGTTCGCCAAATGAATTCCAAATGCCAAACCAGTTTCTCGTGCGGAGGTGGCAGGTAGGTTTCGTTTGATGTCGGTTACCGGTTTCGATTCAAGTGCGACTGAAGAAGAACTGCGACAGTCGCGTTACGCGAGTGCACAACGCAACTTGGATTTCCCATAAGTTGTTTGAGTGAAGAACATTGCATGAAATATGTAAAGACTGCTACGTGTAGTAATCATAGCATATTATTTTGATTGAGTAGGCCCTGATTACAAGGATTTGCTGATATTATATATATATTTTACAGTTGGAAAGTACGCACGCCTGTATCATGATCATAAATGCATTTCTTTTTTAAGAAGCACCATCAACCAACTTTATTCAAAGCACTTGCAACAAAATCTCGAAACGTAAAATCCAGAACCTTCCCATCTTCCACCACCTCTCCTTCATTCAGAGGTCCCTCCTTGACATCCCTACACCGCACATTCACAGGTTTCCTCACCGGAAGGCCTTGGAAATGCATCAGCTTCGGCATAGGCTCGGCAAATGAGGCATTCCAGTCGACACCATACGCATCCCAAGGGTTCTCCACACGATGCACTGATACCATGTTAATCCTCCTCGGATCCACCACCTGCTTCCTCCTCCCCTGCGCTCCCGGGCACACCAACGCCTTGGCCCGATCAGAGCAGCTAGGCATCTCGGCCCTCCAAGGCAGATGCTCCACTAAGAGCTGTGACTCGTTAGTGGCATTGCCGTGGTGCGGCTGGCTGCAGGTGTTGATGCTGTGCATGTACGACCCCATGCTCGCCCATGAAGCGTTGCTCGGCAGGCGGTCAAGCCACGAGAGGAAGGTGGCGGGCGGCGGCGTGAAGATGTACTCATCGAGGTCCGTGTAGAGCAGCCACCTGGTGGTGAGGCGGGAAAGGAAGAAATTGGGGGTTGGGGGAGGGGGTGAGACAGGGCAAGGCATGGCGGCGTGAAGATGTACTCATCGAGGTCCGTGTAGAGCAGCCAATGGTGGTGAGGAGCGGGGATTTAAGAGGTTGGAGGGGCAGAGGGGGGTGTGAAGCGGACGGGTGAGAGGCATGAAGATGTACTCATCGAGGTCCGTGTAAAGCAGCCACCTGAGGGTGGAGGGGGTGGGGAAGGGGAAGTGAGGGGCCAGGGGAGGGGGAGAAGAGGAAAGGGGAGTAGGGGGGCGGGTGAGACAGGGCAAGGCATGGCGGGTGAAGTGAGAAAGACAGGAAGAGCAAAGGGAGAGTGGCAACGAGGATGGAGCCAGAAGGCAGAAAACAAGAAACAAGGCCATGTGGTGTGAGATGGTGATACCACCAACTAGGGCAGAACATGCAGGTGAGAGGGCTCACTTGGTGAGGAATCTCGAGCGATACAAGCAGTCGTTCTGGTTCATGATCTGATGTGAGTAGTACGACACGAAATGCCTTCCACCCTTCATCCTCGTTACAGTCACCACCCCCGTCTCCTCATAAGGCGCCACCACCGCCGCCGTGTCATTATCCACAGTGAGCCCTCCGTGATCATAGAAAAAAAACTTCTCCACACCCACAACCCTGTGGTGGTACCGAATCCAGTCCCCCAGCGACCGCGGATCGATGTGCCCGAAGAGCGACCCGCTACAGTGAGTGAGATTGTACTTGAGCGGGGATGTGATTATGTCGAAACCACCAGGTTTTTCTTGAAAGACGGGCATGGCGGCGGTGTGCAGGGTGAGGGGGGAGGCACCGTGGACATCGAAGCCCACAGCGTGGGCGTGCTCGTGGGCGATGCTGCGGCGCTGCCGCTGCTGCTCTGAGCGCTTCAATACAGAAAGCACGCCGCCTCTGCTGTTGCTGCCCACTGACGCGTTGAAGGCGCAGCGGATGAGGAGCGCTCCCCAGGGGAGGGAGATGTGCTCTGAAGGGCGCAGCTGGTAATGGGGAGAACAGAGTGTGTGTGGGGGGGGGGGAGGGGAGAGGAGCGGAGGCACGGGAGGAGAGGGTGGGTGAGTGATGAAATGTGGAAGAGAATTGAGGTGGCGGGCGTGGATGTGGGCGTGAATTGAGGTGGCGCGGGTAGGACTGGATGTGGTCAAACTTTTTCACAAGCCAGAACTCAGACTGAATCTGTAAGTTATTTGCCTACTCATTTGAGCATTACGAATCTAAGGGTGCCTATTATGGGGCTCAAGTTGATCCATGGCGTGCTTCTCATGTTTCCAGAAATCCGATTGTCATGACAACTTTGAAGGATGCGTCAAAGCAGGCTTGCAGCCATGACACTGAATAAGTCATTTCAAGTAATAACTACACAAGGAGGCCGCAAAGTTGGCGAAGTTATTCATTGAAATCGCTTATTCAATGCCATGGTTGCAAGTTTTTTTTTAAGCATCCTCCAAAGCTATCATCAAAATCGAATTTCAGGAAACATGAGAAGCACAACTTGGTTCAACTTGATCTCATAGCAGACACCCTTAAATACGTAATTCTCAAATGAGTAGGCAAAAAAAAAAGATTCAGAACGCCACTCACATGCATGCCCATGCCACTCAAATGCATGCACATGCCACTCCTATGCATGCCCATGCCACTCACATGCAATGTTTCAGCTGGAGCAACGACGGGAGACTCCTTCCCTCCTCCTTGAATTTCGGCCTCACCCTGCCACACGAACTCGTCCACGAGCGCCCCAGAGAGGTGCAACCATGCACCCAACGACGACTCAAATACCCACCCACATGCCACCCACCTCAAATACCACTCACATGCAAGGTCTTGGCTGGAGAAACAGCCGGTGGCCCTTTCCCTCCCCCTTACCCCTCCCCCTCGCCCTGCCACACACACTCGTCCACAAGCGCGCCACGAAAGTGCAGCTGAGCGCCCAGCAGCGACTCACACGCAACTCACTTGCCACTCACATGCATGCCCATGCCACTCACATGCCCCTCACATGTCACTCACATGCTACTCACATGTAAGGTCTCTGCTGGAGCAACTACCGGAGGCTCCTTTCCTCCCCCTTCGCCCTCCCCCTCGCCCTGCCACACACACTCGTCCACCAGTGCGCCCGCGAAATGCAGCTGTGCACCCAGCAGCGACTCGCCCACCACCATGAAGCTGGGCATCCAAGCATAGGAGGGAGAGCAAGGTGGATGGGTAATATGGGTTGAACGGTTTGAAGTGCAGCTGTGCACCCAGCAGCGACTCACCCACCACCATGAAGCTGACCAACAGCAGCACACATGGGATGCGGGAGAGGTGGGGGCAGGGAAGACGGGGGAGAGGGGAGGGTGGGGAGAGGGGGGTGCAGCTGAGCGCCCAGCAGCGACTCACCCACCACCATGAAGCTGACCAACAGCAGCACACATGGGATGCGGGAGAGGTGGGGGCAGGGAAGACGGGGGAGAGGGGAGGGTGGGGAGAGGGGGGTGCAGCTGAGCGCCCAGCAGCGACTCGCCCACCACCATGAAGCTGCCATCACGGCAAACACGAAGTTGGGGAGATTGGGATGGTCAGGGAGGAGAGAGGATGAAGTGAGTTGGTGTGGGATGCCACGAACAGAAGCAGACAGGAAGGTGCGGTGTGGTGTGTGAGGCATAGAGGGACAAGAAGTTCTTGAGAGGGGGATGGAGGCTTGTCTTAAGGAGCCTCAAAAGCCCTGCGAGGCACAGAGGGACAAGGAGTTCTTCAGAGGGGGATGGAGGCTCGTCTGCACGGCGCTAGCAAGGTGACCAATACCTTTCATTCCAACCAGCTTGAGGCTCGTCTGCACGGCGCTAGCAAGGTGACCAATACCTTTCATTCCAACCAGCTTGAGGCTCGTCTGCACGGCGCTAGCAAGGTGACCAATACCTTTCATTCCAACCAGCTTGAGGCTCGTCTGCACGGCGCTAGCAAGGTGACCAATACCTTTCATTCCAACCAGCTTGAGGCTCGTCTGCACGGCGCTAGCAAGGTGACCAATACCTTTCATTCCAACCAGCTTGAGGCTCGTCTGCACGGCGCTAGCAAGGTGACCAATACCTTTCATTCCAACCAGCTTGAGGCTCGTCTGCACGGCGCTAGCAAGGTGACCAATACCTTTCATTCCAACCAGCTTGAGGCTCGTCTGCACGGCGCTAGCAAGGTGACCAATACCTTTCATTCCAACCAGCTTGAGGCTCGTCTGCACGGCGCTAGCAAGGTGACCAATACCTTTCATTCCAACCAGCTTGAGGCTCGTCTGCACGGCGCTAGCAAGGTGACCAATACCTTTCATTCCAACCAGCTTGAGGCTCGTCTGCACGGCGCTAGCAAGGTGACCAATACCTTTCATTCCAACCAGCTTGAGGCTCGTCTGCACGGCGCTAGCAAGGTGACCAATACCTTTCATTCCAACCAGCTTGAGGCTCGTCTGCACGGCGCTAGCAAGGTGACCAATACCTTTCATTCCAACCAGCTTGAGGCTCGTCTGCACGGCGCTAGCAAGGTGACCAATACCTTTCATTCCAACCAGCTTGAGGCTCGTCTGCACGGCGCTAGCAAGGTGACCAATACCTTTCATTCCAACCAGCTTGAGGCTCGTCTGCACGGCGCTAGCAAGGTGACCAATACCTTTCATTCCAACCAGCTTGAGGCTCGTCTGCACAGCGCTAGCCCGGCGCTAGCAGGTTGAGACTCGTCTGCACGCTCAGCGCGCCTCACCTGTCGGCCCACACCTATTCTTGTGTGCCTTGCCCCACCTGGCCTCGCCTGTGCCCCACCTGACCTTGCCTGTGCCCCACCTGACCTTGCCTGTGCCCCACCTGACCTTGCCTGTGCCCCACCTGACCTTGCCTGTGCCCCACCTGACCTTGCCTTGCCCCACCTGGCCTCGCCAGTGCGGTATATGCTGACGACGGCGAACAGGTTGAGGCTCGTCTGCGCTCAGCGCGCCTCACCTGTCATCCCACAAGCAGCAGCACCTTGCCTTGCCTCACCTAGCTTCGTCGGTGCGGTAAGTGCTGACGACGGCAAACAGGCTGATGCTCGTCGGATGCACTCGGAACGCGTGGTTCTCGCCCCACGTCGCCTCCGCCTCGCCTCCCCCCTCCGCCGCAATCCCCCCTCCCCCCTCTCCACCACCGCTTCTCGCACCCTCTTCCCCCAGCCCACTGTCGCCAGGGCCACTGTCGCTGGCGGGGCACGCGGGGCACTCGCACACGGGAGGAGGTAGTAGCGGCGGCGGAGCGGCGGACGGACTTTCCGCGAGGGCCCTCCGTCGACTCGCGCCTGCCGCTAAATGGTCACTCCCAGGGAGGCCGCTGCCGACGCTATGATGCGGGCGGCCGTCAGGCCATTCGAGGCGCAGTGAGAAGTGCACACGTGGCAGGGAAAGGCGCGAACTCGTGGCGAGCACGAGGATAATCGGCACGAAGAGCGTGAGCGAGGCGAAGAGGCGGCGACGGGTGCGAGACGAGGAAGGACTCCGCATCGCTTGATTCGCGAGGGGGGGGCCACGACCTTCAACGGCGCGCGGATTTGCGAGGGAGGGCTCGAAGGAGGCGGCAAAGCGAAGACAGAGCTGCGCTCGATTGGGCTCATGCACGCATCGGAACGCGCACGCTATGGCGCTGCGCTGCACGTCAAGCTGCGTGGTGCACGTCACTGGCTGCGCGGTGCGGCACGTCAGGGCTTAGCCGATTGCGCAGCGGTGGGCAAGGTGGCGGTGGCTCGCTGTTGCGCGGAAGAAACAAGCAACTGCGCTAGATCCTCGCCCAACGGAACGCGGGTGATGCTGGGAGTGATCGGTGCGAGCTCCGTGGGAGGGACGGCATGCGCCGTGCTGCACGCGAGCACTGCGGTGGCCCTCATCTGTCGAGCTCCCCAGCCCCGCGCTTCAGAGCGGCCAGAGCTTGCACACCGACATGCGCGCGCAGCACGGGGGAGGTGCTTGCAGCAAAAAGAAGGGAAATGCAGCTGACAGCCCTATGCACATGTGCCACCTGGTCGGTTTCGCTCACAATTCCAGCAGCACCCATTGAACTCTGCACGATGTTACAAGAGCGATTTGTAAAAACCTAGGATTACAGAACGATGATGGTGGGAGAAGAAGGCGTTCAGCAGCAGCAGCAGTTTCAGTTGGCAATTGAGTCTACTGCGCAGCAGTTGCGCCCTGCAAAAGACCGAGCAACATAAATGTTGGTTCGCTAACGGCCGAACTCAAGATTGCCTAATTCATCTGATTAGTTCATAAAACACTCTGAAATACATTACTGAAAAGAGAATAATATACATAATTTTGCAGTGGGATAGTGGTACAAGAGAAGTTACATTGCAAAATTCATAAGAATAAATGGGTATGAATAATCACAATCAATGTACGTACCAGTACAGCAACCGCTATGGTACTGTATCTGAATATCAAGTTGAAAGCTAGTGTTTGATACAGGTGCATTCTGAAAAAAAAAAAAAAAAAAAAAAAAAAAAAAAAAGTTCCTCAAAAGGAGGCTCACAAAACTTGTACAAGAATACATTGAATGGTTATACTTACCGTAACCAGTGTATACTAGACAATGCCGGCCACAGTAGGGTAGGCATTATCTAGCGTACCCTGAAAGTTGGGTTCTTCCGTGGCTTATGGGATGCGAGTCAGGGTAGTGTGCAGAACAAAATCTCCTAGAATAAGTCATCCAAGGTTACAGAAGCTCTGCTGCTCTTAAAAAAGCATGGGGGCAGGGCGGGGCAGAGCATGGGGGCAGATGAAGGGGATGGGGCGGAGCAAGGGGCGCAAGGAGGAGCATGGGTTGAGAGAGGGTAATCAAGGGAAGTAAATGAGACACAGTTGCATCCAGCATGTGACTTGCGAGTGTGACGCGCATGTGCTTTATGTTCGGACACGCTTTCCCCATGCAACCCTTCACTGCATCCCACACCACAGATCCCTCCCACAAGAGCTCAATCATCCCAGCTCTGTGGAGCTCTCACCTCCCATATCTTCGCCTTTCGTCACTCCTCTTCTCTAGCAGCCCAATCTTGCCCTCGTCTCGTTCACGGCCTTCCTCACCCCCGTGCGTAGTGAGGTGCATTTTGAGGCGCCTCAAAATGCACCTCACTACACGCGGATTTTGAGGCAGCTCAAAATGCACCTCTCTAGCAGACCGATCTTGCCCTCGTCTCGTTCACGGCCTTCCTCACCCCCGTGCACCTCATCTCCTGCAGTGCCTTCAACACCGCCTGCTCCCTTTCCTCCACTTCCTTCTCTCCCTCATCTCCCTCCTCTCCCTTCCTCCTCTCCCTCCTCCCCCTCCTCTCCTTCTCCCTTTTCCGTTCTCTGCTCATCTCCCTTGCGACCTCATCAGCCCTCCTTTGTCCATGCCCCATTCCCGCCAGTACCCATGCCTAACGCATCTCCCACAATCTCCTCGCTCTCTCTTCCGGTCCCTCCCCACCTCCCCCACCTCTTGCATCCACCGCACCATCCCCCGTCTCCTCTCTCCAACTCATACTCCAATCGCCATCTCCCATTGCCTGCGTCCGCGTGTCCCCCAACATGATTCTCAAATCCCTTCACATGCCCCCTACTGCTCACATGCCCCCGACCACCCACATGCCCCCTACCGCCCACATGGCCCATGCCCGCCCACATGCCCCATGCCCGCCCTCCATCTCTCCCTCAAGCTCCTCCGCCAGCCCAGCCACCAGATCATCAAAGCTCATCCCCTCCTCCCCCACTGTCTGCATCCGCGTGCCCCCCACCACCTCTCTCATGCCCCCCCACATGCCCCCCCACATGCCCCCCCACATGCCCCCCCACCACCCCCCTCATGCCCCCCCACATGCCCCCCACCAGCCCCATGCCCCTCACCACCCCCATGGCCCCCATCGCCCCTAACGTGCCCCCCGCCGCCCCCCATCTCTCTCTCCAGTTCCTCCGCCAGCCCCGCAACCAGATCATCCAAACTCATCTCCTCCTCCCCCTCCTCCCCCTCCTCCTCCTCCCCCACCTTCCCCCACTCCTTCCCCGCTGCCTGCATTCCTCCCCTGCCCCCCACTGCCCACTTGCCCCCCACCGCCCACATGTCCCCCCACATGCCCCCCGCCACCCCCCATCTCCCTCTCAAGTTCCTCCGCCAGCCCAGCCACCAGATCGTCCAGACTCATCTCCTCCTCCCCTTCCTCCTCCCCCGCCCCCTCCCCTTCTTCCCCGCCCCAATCCGCGCCCCCTCCCCCATCTCCACTTCCCCCAGCGCCCCTGTGCATGTGCGCTTCAGCAGCAGCGGCGGCTGCTCTGATGGCGGGTGGGGCGTCCGCCTGCGCAAGGATCTCCATCATGCTCGCCTCGTCCACCTGTTGAGAAGGGGCATGGGGACATGGGTGGCATGGGGTCATGGGGACATGGCAATGGGGACATGGGAATCAGCAGCGGCGGCTGCTCTGACGGCGGGTGGGGCGTAGGGGGAGGGTAGGGGGGCATGGGCCATGGCGGAGGGATGGGTGAGCGTCCGCCTGCGCAAGGAGAATGGGGAGTGGGGGGTCATGGAGGCCATGCGGGGGCCAAGGGGGCATAGGGCGTGGCGGAGGGATGGGAGGGGCGTCCGCCAGCGCGAGGATTTCCATCATGCTCGCCTCGTCCACCTGCCTTGTGATAATGGCACATGGGGAAGGGTAAGGGGCCACGGGGTACAGTAGGGGCGCATGGGGAGGGTAGGGGGGCATGGGCCATGGCGGAGGGATGGGAGGGGCGTCCGCCTGCACGAGGATTTCCATCATGCTGGCCTCGTCCACCTGCTTGGGAACGGGCCATGGGGGGCATGGCGGAGGGATGGGAGGGTCCGCCTGCACGAGGATCTCCATCATGCTTGTCTCGTCCACCTGCTTGCGTGAGAACGCACATGGGATGGGAAGCAGGGCGGCATAGGGGAATGGGGCCATGGCATGAGGACATGGGCGGCATAGGGGCATGACCGGGGGGCTCGTCCACCTGCCCACATGGTGGCAGCCGAGCATGGATGCATGGATCCATGGCATGGAGAGACATGGAATGGGGGCATGGTTTTGGCATGGATGCATGGGAATGGCATGGAGGCATGGGCAGGACATGGGGGCATGGGCATGGAGGCATGGGCATGGCATGGGGGCATGGGCAGGGCATGGAGGCATGGGCATGGCATGAGGGCATGGCATGGGGGCATGGCATGAGGGCATGGCATGGGAGCATGGCATGGGGGCATGCCAGAGGCACGCAAAGGTCACTAGCAACAAATGCGGTCATTTCGCGCGCATAGTTTTTATGGATCGTTCAAGCTACATGCCATGCTGCTTCTGTGGTACTCCTTGCCGTGCACTACCTCATCCCATCCACCCACCCACCCACCATGGCACACCCCACTCACTCCCCGCGTGCAGCATGTGCAGCTTGTCTTGAGGGCCTGCTTATGAGGCACTTATCGCCACCACCACCCCAAGCCCCCACTCACCCACCCCCATCTGCCCACCACCCTGCCACCCCATGCTCCCCGCCTCCACCACCACCCTTTTGAGGCGCCTCAAAAGTCCCCACCCCCACCCCCACCCCACGCCCACCTGCAGCACGTGCAGCTTGTCTCGAATGACCTGCTTCAGCGCCACTATCGCCGCCACCTCCTCCCTCAACGCCCTGTCAGGGGTCATAGTAGGGAGGGATGAGCGAGGAGAAGGGTGAGGGAGTGGGGGGCGGGATGCATGCGCGGGCATGGATGGGCCGGGTGACAGAGCACAGGCGGCTCGATGCTTCCCTCATCTCTCTTCGCCTCCCCGCTCCTCCTTCCTTGCCTCACTCACCTCTATCCTCTTCCTTTATTTCTCCCCGTGCCTCATCCCCCTCTTCCCTCTCGCGCGCCTCACCGGAGAAGCACGTCGGTGGGTACTTGAGCCATCGCAGAGAGATCGCAGCGGTATCGCAGAGGGATCGCAGGTCGCAGAGGGATCGCAGAGAGATCGCAGCGGGATCGCAGATCGCAAATGGATCGTAAATGGATCGCTGAGGGAGGGCGACGAAACGCCCAATCAACTTCCTCTGGCTGGTAAATGTGAGAGGTGCCTCAGAGCTGCGATCGGATCGCAGAGGGCACTGGCGGAGCACGTCCGCCGGCTTTCCTCCTTGCTGGCGCTTGTGATGAGACGATTTTTGAGTCGACTCCAAAATCGACTCAGAGCTGGGATGGCAGCGGGCACTGGCGGAGCAAGTCCGGCTTCCTTCCTGCCGGCGCGCCTTCCTCGTTGCGGTGCGTGGACCTGCGGTTATCGAAGCGATCTCAGTCGCGAAATGGCCGTCGTTCGCGAACCGTTGGCGAAACTAAATGGTCGAGTAAATGCCAGGTGAAAGTGCTGGCCGAAAATGATTATGTTCCACGACCTAAACAGCGGTCGCCCTCTTCCGCTAAGGGCGAATGAGCCTGTCTAACGTAGACGTGGGTACTGCTCGGACGACGCACTCCAAAGGTGCGGACGAAGTACTAAAATGGCGGCTAAGTGTTTCACAGTGAGGAAAGGAAAACTCGTGTCATTTTGAGTCGAGTACGTATGCTAGAGATTGTAACGAGAAGAATCACGTGTATGTGTGGGTGCGTTGCGCAGGAGGGAGTACAATCACGAGTTTCATATCAGATATTAAGCGGTTACCCTATGCAGAGAAGTTACTGTGAGCTGCGAGAACTCGACCTGTTAGTTTGATTGGAAGTTCGACGAGTGTGGAAGTTCCTCTCGGTTGGGCAAAGATAGATCTTTCGCCCAACCGGTTTTCTATCGCGAAGATGTGTGCGTACGCTTTCGCGAAACGGGGTGTGCTGACTCACCCGGTTCGTCAGCACCCGCTTCATTCGTTCTCGAACCTCGCTTCAGATAAGATATCCTCACAAATCCACTGAGCACACAGAGCAAATAGAATTGAAGTTGCTGCGCATTCACCCCGTGTTACATTCTGATAGCACAGCTAACTCGCTCGCCTTTCCTCCGCGAGCCGGTGATCCTCCAGCGCTCCGCCCGTCGAGCCGGCGACCGACGCATCCTCCGCATTCACGCGCGATGCACGCGTGCGCACCCTCGCTCGGAACAGGATTTCCATCCCGTGCGAAAACATGTAGGCTTTCGCCAATGGTAACCGCACAATCAGTTGCTCTCGCCATCCGCCGTGAGGCACCATGGCGTTGCTCGCTTTTCGTCGCCGAGCTCCCGCTCAAGCAGTCGCGTCGCAGTCGCATGTATAAGCAGTCGCAGACCGTCGCGAACCATCGCAGCGTCGGCTCGCAGCGCAAAGCAGGCGTCGCACGAGCTGCCAAGCGACAATCTGGAAGCAGCGCGAAACAGTCGCGTGGCAGCAGGAAGGCCGCCAACAAACCTTCTCCGTCCAGCGCGCCGAGCCGGCAGCAGCAGGACCGCTTGAATGACAGTCAATCAAGTCAACCAATTCAACCAGAGCGGCCAGAGAAATCAGCCCAGGAAATTTTCGAGTTGACCCAGGCGTCAATGAATTTGAGTCAATCAGGTCAATTGAGTCAACCGGGTCAACCGTCGCCATCCATAGCTACACCTGATACCTCTCCACCTTCTCCTTCCTCTTCCGAGTCAACTAAAAAGCCACCGCCGATAGCTGCACCCGTCTCTCCAGATTCTACTTCCTCTTCCGCCCCTGCTGCCCCTGCTGTCCCTGCTGCTCCTGTCGCTGTCGCTCCTAGAGAGGAGGTTTGGCGGGCGTGTCTAACCACTTCAGGAGGCTTGGCCGTAGCTGGGCTGCTGGTCAGACAGGTGGGTGGCTCGTTGACTTTCTTGACATCAGCTCCTTCTCCCCCCTCTCCCCCCTTCCCCACCCTCCCCACAATCCCCATTGCTCCGCAAAGCCACTTAATACCCGAGGTCCATAGCTTTCAAACGGAGGAAGGTTGGTTGGGGCAGGAGAAGGGATTGGCCTGTGAAACAGGGTGGTGCCGAAAATAGCTCGATGTAGGTCACGAAACGAAACACTATCACCAGAGTTACTTTTGAGGCGCCTCAAAAGTCGCCTCAAAGGATGTAGGTCACGAAATGAAACACTATCACCAGAGTTACCAAAGCTGGGCTGCAACTCAGGAAATCCTTAGCGCTTCACTTCGTGACTGAAAAACAATCGCACTTCAATCAATCTTTACCTGAATTATGTGTCACCCTTCGCACGCCAATCGACTTTGCCAGTGCAATAATTTCGAGAAATGGCGCTACCGAGACGATCAGTGAAGTCGGTAGCTATCAACTTGGTGACACCCAACCAAAGGTAGAAGAGATGAGGCAATTTGGGGAAACTTGAGACTCCGGTATTCAGCCCATCGCTGCACCCAGCAGTATCTCATGATCTGGTTTGAGTTGTCACACAACTAGAGTGCTACCACGGCCAGTCTCACCACCAGCCATCTCACCCCCACCCATCTCACCCCCACCCATCTCACCCCCACCCATCTCACCCCCACCCATCTCACCCCACCCATCTCACCCTCACCCATCTCACCCCCACCCATCTCACCCCCACCCATCTCACCCCCACCCATCTCACCCCCACCCATCTCACCCCCACCCATCTCACCCCCACCCATCTCACCCCCACCCATCTCACCCCCACCCATCCCACCCCCACCCATCTCACCCCCACCCATCTCACTCACCCCCAGCCATCCCACCCCCAGCCATCCCACCCCCAGCCATCCCATCACTCTCTCAATCCCCCCTTCCCCCGTTTCTCTTCCCAACCCCTCTCTCCTCCCTTTCCTTGTCTCTCTCCCTACCCCCTATCGCCCATCCCCCCCCCCCTTTTCTCTCCTCAGAAATCTCCTGAGGCGCCGCTCCATTCCATCTTTTGAGGCGCCTCAAAAGGCGCCGCTCCATTCCATCTTTTGAGGCGCCTCAAAAGGCGCCGCTCCATTCCATCTTTTGAGGCGCCTCAAAAGGCGCCGCTCCATTCCATCTTTTGAGGCGCCTCAAAAGGCGCCGCTCCATTCCATCTATCCCGTTGCCACAGGGGATTCCTTGCCCGCCACAGCGGATAACGGAATCCCCCACTTATCTGCCTTTCCTCCCTCTCCCCTTCCACCTGAAATCTCATTCCCCCGATTCCTCTTCCCACCCTTCTCACACCTCCCCAGCTATCCTCTTGGGGGCATGACCCGCCGGTGCTCCCATCACTGACTGTCTGCCACAATGAATTCCCGAATCCCTTACTTATCTGCCTTTCTTCCATTCCTCCCTGCCCTCCCTCCGCCCACCCTCCCCCAGCTATCCGCCTGGGGGCATGACGCTGGTGCGCCCATCACTGACTGCTTTCAAGCCATGCCATGTGAGTGAATGAGGGGCGTGTGAGAGAGCATGAATTGCATGTGAGAGAGCATGAATTGCATGTGAGAGAGCATGAATGGCATGTGAGAGAGCATGAATGGCATGTGAGAGAGCATGAATTGCATGTGAGAGAGCATGAATGGCATGTGAGAGAGCATGAATGGCATGTGAGAGAGCATGAATTGCATGTGAGAGAGAAGGAATGGCATGTGAGAGAGAAGGAATGGCATGTGAGAGAGCATGAATTGCATGTGAGAGAGCATGAATTGCATGTGAGAGAGCATGAATGGCATGTGAGAGAGCATGAATGGCATGTGAGAGAGCATGAATTGCATGTGAGAGAGAAGGAATGGCATGTGAGAGAGAAGGAATGGCATGTGAGAGAGCATGAATTGCATGTGAGAGAGCATGAATTGCATGTGAGAGAGCATGAATTGCATGTGAGAGAGCATGAATGGCATGTGAGAGAGCATGAATGGCATGTGAGAGAGAAGGAATGGCATGTGAGAGAGCATGAATTGCATGTGAGAGAGCATGAATTGCATGTGAGAGAGCATGAATTGCATGTGAGAGAGCATGAATGGCATGTGAGAGAGCATGAATGGCATGTGAGAGAGAAGGAATGGCATGTGAGAGAGTATGAATGGCATGTGAGAGAGCATGAATGGCATGTGAGAGAGCATGAATGGCATGTGAGAGAGCATGAATTGCATGTGAGAGAGCATGAAGGGCATGTGAGAGAGCATGAATTGCATGTGAGAGAGCATGAATTGCATGTGAGAGAGCATGAATGGCATGTGAGAGAGCATGAATGGCATGTGAGAGAGCATGAATGGCATGTGAGAGAGCATGAATGGCATGTGAGAGAGCATGAATGGCATGTGAGAGAGAAGGAACGGCATGTGAGAGAGCATGAATTGCATGTGAGAGAGCATGAATGGCATGTGAGAGAGCATGAATGGCATGTGAGAGAGAAGGAATGGCATGTGAGAGAGCATGAATGGCATGTGAGAGAGCATGAATTGCATGTGAGAGAGCATGAATGGCATGTGAGAGAGAAGGAATGGCATGTGAGAGAGCATGAATTGCATGTGAGAGAGCATGAATTGCATGTGAGAGAGCATGAATGGCATGTGAGAGAGCATGAATGGCATGTGAGAGAGAATGAATGGCATGTGAGAGAGCATGAATGGCATGTGAGAGAGCATGAATGGCATGTGAGAGAGAAGGAATGGCATGTGAATGCATGGTATGTACATGACTTCCTATTCCTCCTGTTCCTCCTCCTCTTCATCTTCACCCACCTCTACCACTCTCCACCGTGCCTCTACCACTCTCCACCGTGCCTCTACCACTCTCCACCGTGCCTCTACCACTCTCCACCGTGCCTCTGACAGCCCCTGCCATCGAACCTACACTCTATCTCACCCTCTACCTCACCCACATTTTGCTTTCTTTGATTCCATCGCAACTCAACGCTCCTTCACCCCCCTCCAACCCCTTTTCACACACAACCTGTCACCCTCTCCACCCCTCTATCCAACCCTTAGTGACCCTATCACCCGCCAGCGTGCCTCTCGCCCTCACAGCAGCAGCCATCGTGTCAGCTGCTCGCCTTGCTCTGCTGCGCCTCTCCCCGGCCTTCCTTGCTGCCACCCATGCCCCCTATCTCACCCTCTACACTACCCCTCTTTTACCCTTCAATTCCAGCCCCACCTCAATTTAACCCACATTCACCCCCCTTCACCCCTCTCCCACCCCATCCCACCCCTCCGTCCATTTTCCAGTGAGCCTGTCACCAGCCAGCGTGCCGTTCGCCCTCGCAGCAGCAGCCATCGTGTCAGCAGCTCGCCTTGCTCTGCTGCGCCTCTCTCCAGCCTTCCAACACACGTGCCCCCCTTGATCCTCTTTCACCCCTCTCACCCCTCCCCACCCCTCCATCCAACCCCTCAGTGACCCTATCACCAGCCAGCGTGCCGTTCGCCCTCGCAGCAGCAGCCATCGTGTCAGCAGCTCGCCTAGCTCTGCTGCATCTCTCCCCGGCCTTCCTTGCTGCCACCCATGCCTCCTATCTCACCCTCTACACTATCCCTCCGTTGCCCTTCAATTCCAGCCCCCCCTCAGCGCCCATTCAACCCCCTTTCACCCCTCTCCACCCCCCTTCACCCCTCCATCCAACCCCAGTGACCCTATCACCAGCCAGCATACCGTTCGCCCTCGCAGCAGCAGCCATCGTGTCAGCAGCTCGCCTCGCTCTGCTGCGCCTCTCCCCGGCCTTCCTCGATGCCACCAATGCCTCCAACACACGGGCCCTTTCAAACCTGCAAGCCACGGACCTCATCTGGGTGTCGCTGCTTCCAGGCATCTCCGAGGTGCGTGCTGCTTATTTCAAAGGCTGGTGTGCACTCTGTTCCATACTCTGCTGCGCCTCTCCCCAGCCTTCCTCGATGCCACCAATGCCTCCAACACACGGGCCCTTTCAAACCTGCAAGCCACGGACCTCATCTGGGTGTCGCTCCTCCCAGGCATCTCCGAGGTGCGTGCTGCTTATTTCAAAGGCTGGTGTGCACTCCGTTCCATACTCTGCTGCGTCTCTCCCCAGCCTTCCTCGATGCCACCAATGCATCCAACGCACGGGCGCTGTCTAGCCTGAACGCCACGGACCTCATCTGGGTGTCTCTCCTTCCAGGCATCTCCGAGGTGCGTGCTGCAAAGGCAGAGGCAGTGTGAACAGGCTGTGTGAGGCATGTATTTTAGGTTATTGTGGTCCAAAGGCTGATCCAAAGGCTGCTGAGCCTCGCCCCGGCCTTCCTCCCCGCCTCCCGCGCCTCCAACGTACAGCACGTGGGGTGGGCCTCTCCAAAGGTTGCACTTCCACGCATCTCACGTGGTAAGCGCTGCTGTGTGCTGCAAAGGTTGCACTGCCACGGCCCCACTGCCTCGGCTTCACTGCCACAGCCCCACTGCCTCGGCTTCACTGCCACGGCCCCACTGCCTCGGCTTCACTGCCACGGCCCCACTGCCAGGCCTCCATTGCCAGGGCTTCACTGCCACGGCTTCACTGCCACGGCTTCACTGCCACGGCTTCACTGCCACGGCGCCACTGCCACGGCTTCACTGCCACGGCCCCACTGCCACGGCTTCACTGCCTCGGCTTCACTGCCACGGCTTCACTGCCACGGCTTCACTGCCACGGCTTCACTGCCACGGCCCCACTGCCACGGCCCCACTGCTAGGGCTCCTCTGCTAGGGCTTCACTGCCAGGGCTCCATTGCTAGGGCTCCACTGCCAGGGCTTCACTGCCAGGGCTCCATTGCTAGGGCTCCACTGCCAGGGCTTCACTGCTAGGGCTCCATTGCCACGGCTTCACTGCCAGGGCTCCATTGCCACGGCCCCACTGCTAGGGCTCCATTGCTTCTGGTGGTAGCGAAGGCAGCGGGCATGTTTGGAGACGCCTCACTGCTGATATCTCGCCCCGCTCTTACCTTATTCCCCTTTTCGCCTCATCTCCCCCTGCTCTCCTCACTCCCCGTTCCCGCCTCATCTCCCCTTTCCCTCCTCACTCCCCCTTCCCTCCTCATCCTCCCTGCCCTCCCCCCGCCCCTCCCCCCGCCTTGCACAGGAGCTGCTCTTCCGAGGGGCACTGCTGCCGCTGGTGGGGGTGAATGCAGTGGGGGTGATAGTATCGGGGGCTGTCTTTGGACTGCTGCACGTCACGGGCGACCGCAACCTCACCTTTTCTGCCTGGTACGCACGCCGCTCCTTGTTGCATGCTGTTTTTACCATTTCCAAAAACCGCTCTGCCTGGTTCGCCGCTCTTTTTCTCAAGCAGTTTTTGGGATTTCCCTCCCTGCTTCCCTCCCTCTCTCCCTCCCTCCATCCCCCCCTCCCCAGGGCATCATCCGTAGAGAGAGGGTTTCTACTTTGAAATACCGCTTTCACGCATCATGCACCCACCCCCTTCTCTGCCTCCCGCCCTCCCTCCCTCCCTCCCTCCCTCCCTCCCTCCCTCCCTCCCTCCCACCCTCCCTCCCTCACTCACTCACTCCCTCCCTCCCTCACTCCCTCCCTCCCTCCCTCCCTCCCTCCCTCCCTCCCTCCCTACCTCCCTCCCTCCCTCCCTTGCTCCATCCCCCCCTGCCCTCCCTCCCTCCCTCCCTCCCTCCCTCCCTCCCTCCCTCCCTCCCTCCCTCCCTCCCTCTCCCATCTTTCCCCCCTCCACCCCCAAGGGCAACGAGTGTGGGGTGTGTGTATGGCGTGCTGGCAGTGGCGACGGGTGACATGGCCAGTGCCATGCTCGCTCACTCCCTCGCTCCTCTCCCTCCCATCCCTCCCTCCCCCCCTCCACAGGGCATCATCCGTAGGGTGTGTGTATGGCGTGCTGGCAGTGGCCACGGGTGACATGGCCAGTGCCATGCTCGCTCACTCCCTCGTGCCTTCCCTCTCTCCCTCCGTCCCGTCCCTCTTCCGCGTCCTCCCACCGCATCCCAGGGCATCATCTGTGGGGTGTGCGTACGGCGTGCTGGCTGGCAGCGGTATCATTCACCCCCCACCCCCCTTTGCCCTCCTACCACAGGGCAACGAGTGTGGGGTGTGTGTATGGTGTGCTGGCAGTGGCGACGGGTGACATGGCCAGTGCCATGCTCGCTCACTCCCTCGCCAACCTGGTGTCTGCTGGCTGGTGGAAATGGCAGCAGCAGGAGCAATAGCAGCAGCAACAACAACAGCAGCAGCTTACAATTCGTTTCTGCTGCCTGAAGGAAATGGCAGCAGCAGCAGCAGCAGCAGCAATAGAGCCGTAGAAGCATAAGCATTGTAACAGAACAACAGTTTTAACCTAATCGTTTCGGTGCCAAAGAGTGGGGGCTGTAGATATCTGGAACTTGCTGTAGTGTAGATCGCGGAGGGGGCTGTATGCTACCCACGGTTTTTGGCAGGGTAAATGGAAATAGGTATTTGTTTGTGTAGATCGCGGAGGGGGCTGTATGCTACCCACCCACGGTTTTTGGCAGGGTAAATGGAAATAGGTATTTGTTTGTGTAGATCGCGGAGGGGGCTGTATGCTACCCACGGTTTTTTGCAGTTATTTGTTTGTGTCTTCCTTCTTCTGCTGCTGCTGGAGCACTGGTGTTTTCGCCCTGACATGGTAGCTAGCTAAACGCTTGTGGTTTTCACACTGCAGCTCATCCAAGCATGCACTATAATAAATAAGCGAGCCCAACCTATTAATGCCAAAACGGACCACTACATCAGAAAATGCACACTAAATACACCATCGGAGGCCATAAGTGCTGCGCGTGAAGGGTAACTAGAACACCAAGACCAGGAATGTCGTATAAACACACTAGTAGGGCCAGGCATGCAGCATCAAGGCCAGGCATGCACGTGGTATCCAGCACTGCGCATGGCATTGAGCAGTTGCCCCGCTTCCCGCCTCGAGTGTGCAAAGAGGCTCGGATTCCAGGAGAAGAAGTGCATGGAGGGGTGGTTGTACGCATGGAGGGTTTCTCCACCCATCCACGCATCCACGCGTCTCAAAACGTACAGCACGTGGGGTGGGCCCTCTCCACCCATCCACGCATCTCACGTGGTAAACGCTGCTGCGTGCTGCAAAGGTTGCACTGCCACGGCTTCACTGCCACGGCCCTACTGCTAGGGCTCCATTGCTTCTGCTAGTATGTAAATACCACCAGGGACTCGCATGTTATCAGATTACCCCATCAAGGCCAGGCATGCACATAGTACCCTGCACTGCGCATGGCGTTGAGCAGCTGGCCTGCTTGCTGCCTCGAGTGCGGGAAGTTGCGCGGCGTCCACGTGAAGAAGTGCATGGAGGGGTGGTTGTAATGCACCTCCACGAATATCTCGTCTATCACCCGTGGCATGAGAGGTGAGTCCAACCAGGCTGCACCCCCCACACACAGAGACAGGGGTGGTGAGGGCAAGGAAATGGAGAGGGTAATGAGGGTGACGAAGTGCATGGAGGGGTGGTTGTAATGCACCTCCACGAATAGCTCGTCTATCACCTGTGGCATGAGAGGTGAGTCCAACCAGGCTGCACCCCACACACACAGAGACAGGGGTGGTGAGGGCAAGGAAATGGAGAGGGAAATGAGGGAGAAGAAGTGCATGGAGGGGTGGTTGTAATGCACCTCCACGAATAGCTCGTCTATCACCCGTGGCATGAGAGGTGAGTCCAACCAGGCTGTACGCAACACAAGGAGAGAGTACTACAGTGGGTGAGGAGGGGAAACGGGGAGGGGAGGATGATTGGGCATGGAGGGGTGGTGATTGTAATGCACCTCGACAAACAGCTCATTGATTACTCGTGCGTGCCATGAGGGGGGACTCCAGCCACGCTGCACCCCACAGCAAGGGAAGGGAGAGGGAAATGACGATGAAGAAGTGCATGGAGGGGTGGTTGTTGTAATGCACCTTCACGAGTGCCTCATCGATTACTCGTGCGTGCCATGAGGGGGGACTCCAGCCACGCTGCACATAGCAAAAAGAGACGGGGGGGTGGCAGAGGAACAGAGAGGGCGACAGAGGGTGGTTGGCTGTAAAGGGGTGGTTGCCGTGCGCCTTCACGAACAGCTTGTCTATCACCCGTGGCATGAGAGGAGACTCCAGCAAGCCAGGCTGCAGTCAGTACAAGGACAGGGGGATGCAGGCAAGGGAATGGCGAGGGGAATGAGGAAGCAGTGAGCCATGGAGGGGTGGTTGTAATGCACCTCCACCAATAGCTCGTCTATCACTTGTGCCATGAGAGGGGACTCTAACCAGGCTGCGCATAGCAAAGAACACGAGGAAGAAGGGCAATGAAGAGGGAAATGAGAGAGATTAAGTGCACGGAGGGGTGGTTGTAATGCACCTCCACCAATAGCTCGTCTATCACTTGTGCCATGAGAGGCGACTCTAACCAGGCTGCACATAGCAAAGAACATGAGGAAGAAGGGCAATGAAGAGGGAAATGAGAGAGATTAAGTGCACGGAGGGGTGGTTGTAATGCACCTCCACCAATAGCTCGTCTATCACTTGTGCCATGAGAGGCGACTCTAACCAGGCTGCACATAGCAAAGAACATGAGGAAGAAGGGCAATGAAGAGGGAAATGAGAGAGATTAAGTGCACGGAGGGGTGGTTGTAATGCACCTCGACAAACAGCTCGTCGATTACTTGCGCCATGAGGGGGGACTCCAACCAGGCTGCACAGAGGGGTGAGACAAGGGCAATGGAGATGGAGAGAGAGGATGATGGCCAGCCATAAAGAGGTTTCGGGTGTCTCACACTCCACCCAGGCTGCCCCATCCCACACTCCACCCAGGCTGCCCCATCCCACACTCCACCCAGGCTGCCCCATCCCACACTCCAGCCAGGCTGCCCCATCCCACACTCCACCCAGGCTGCCCCATCCCACACTCCAGCCAGGCTGCCCCACCCCACACTCCACCCAGGCTGCCCCATCCCACACTCCACCCAGGCTGCCCCATCCCACACTCCAGCCAGGCTGCCCCACCCCACACTCCACCCAGGCTGCCCCATCCCACACTCCACCCAGGCTGCCCCATCCCACACTCCTCCCAGGCTGCCCCACCCCACACTCCACCCAGGCTGCCCCACCCCACACTCCACCCAGGCTGCCCCACCCCACACTCCACCCAGGCTGCCCCACCCCACACTCCACCCAGGCTGCCCCACCCCACACTCCACCCAGGCTGCCCCACCCCACACTCCACCCAGGCTGCCCCACCCCACACTCCACCCAGGCTGCCCCACCCCACACTCCACCCAGGCTGCCCCACCCCACACTCCACCCAGGCTGCCCCACCCCACACTCCACCCAGGCTGCCCCACCCCACACTCCACCCAGGCTGCCCCACCCCACACTCCACCCAGGCTGCCCCACCCCACACTCCAGCCAGGCTGCCCCATCCCACACTCCAGCCAGGCTGCCCCATCCCACACTCCAGCCAGGCTGCCCCACCCCACACTCCAGCCAGGCTGCCCCATCCCACACTGCACCCAGGCTGCCCCATCCCACACTCCACCCAGGCTGCCCCACCCCACACTCCACCCAGGCTGCCCCACCCCACACTCCACCCAGGCTGCCCCACCCCACACTCCACCCAGGCTGCCCCACCCCACACTCCACCCAGGCTGCCCCACCCCACACTCCACCCAGGCTGCCCCACCCCACACTCCACCCAGGCTGCCCCACCCCACACTCCACCCAGGCTGCCCCACCCCACACTCCACCCAGGCTGCCCCACCCCACACTCCACCCAGGCTGCCCCATCCCACACTCCAGCCAGGCTGCCCCATCCCACACTCCACCCAGGCTGCCCCATCCCACACTCCAGCCAGGCTGCCCCATCCCACACTCCAGCCAGGCTGCCCCACCCCACACTCCAGCCAGGCTGCCCCACCCCACACTCCACCCAGGCTGCCCCACCCCACACTCCACCCAGGCTGCCCCACCCCACACTCCACCCAGGCTGCCCCACCCCACACTCCACCCAGGCTGCCCCATCCCACACTCCACCCAGGCTGCCCCACCCCACACTCCACCCAGGCTGCCCCACCCCACACTCCCGCCAGGCTGCCCCATCCCACACTCCAGCCAGGCTGCCCCACCCCACACTCCAGCCAGGCTGCCCCACCCCACACTCCAGCCAGGCTGCCCCATCCCACACTCCACCCAGGCTGCCCCATCCCACACTCCACCCAGGCTGCCCCATCCCACACTCCAGCCAGGCTGCCCCATCCCACACTCCAGCCAGGCTGCCCCACCCCTCACTCCAGCCAGGCTGCCCCACCCCACACTCCAGCCAGGCTGCCCCATCCCACACTCCACCCAGGCTGCCCCATCCCACACTCCAGCCAGGCTGCCCCATCCCACACTCCAGCCAGGCTGCCCCATCCCACACTCCAGCCAGGCTGCCCCATCCCACACTCCACCCAGGCTGCCCCATCCCTCACTCCAGCCAGGCTGCCCCATCCCACACTCCACCCAGGCTGCCCCATCCCACACTCCAGCCAGGCTGCCCCATCCCACACTCCAGCCAGGCTGCCCCATCCCACACTCCACCCAGGCTGCCCCATCCCACACTCCACCCAGGCTGCCCCATCCCACACTCCACCCAGGCTGCCCCACCCCACACTCCACCCAGGCTGCCCCACCCCACACTCCACCCAGGCTGCCCCACCCCACACTCCACCCAGGCTGCCCCACCCCACACTCCACCCAGGCTGCCCCACCCCACACTCCACCCAGGCTGCCCCACCCCACACTCCACCCAGGCTGCCCCACCCCACACTCCACCCAGGCTGCCCCACCCCACACTCCACCCAGGCTGCCCCACCCCACACTCCAGCCAGGCTGCCCCATCCCACACTCCACCCAGGCTGCCCCATCCCACACTCCACCCAGGCTGCCCCATCCCACACTCCACCCAGGCTGCCCCATCCCACACTCCACCCAGGCTGCCCCATCCCACACTCCAGCCAGGCTGCCCCATCCCACACTCCAGCCAGGCTGCCCCATCCCACACTCCACCCAGGCTGCCCCATCCCACACTCCAGCCAGGCTGCCCCATCCCACACTCCACCCAGGCTGCCCCATCCCACACTCCACCCAGGCTGCCCCATCCCACACTCCAGCCAGGCTGCCCCATCCCACACTCCAGCCAGGCTGCCCCATCCCACACTCCAGCCAGGCTGCCCCACCCCACACTCCAGCCAGGCTGCCCCACCCCACACTCCAGCCAGGCTGCCCCATCCCACACTCCAGCCAGGCTGCCCCATCCCACACTCCAGCCAGGCTGCCCCATCCCACACTCCACCCAGGCTGCCCCATCCCACACTCCAGCCAGGCTGCCCCATCCCACACTCCACCCAGGCTGCCCCATCCCACACTCCAGCCAGGCTGCCCCATCCCACACTCCACCCAGGCTGCCCCATCCCACACTCCACCCAGGCTGCCCCATCCCACACTCCAGCCAGGCTGCCCCATCCCACACTCCAGCCAGGCTGCCCCATCCCACACTCCAGCCAGGCTGCCCCACCCCACACTCCAGCCAGGCTGCCCCACCCCACACTCCAGCCAGGCTGCCCCATCCCACACTCCAGCCAGGCTGCCCCATCCCACACTCCAGCCAGGCTGCCCCATCCCACACTCCACCCAGGCTGCCCCATCCCACACTCCAGCCAGGCTGCCCCATCCCACACTCCAGCCAGGCTGCCCCATCCCACACTCCAGCCAGGCTGCCCCATCCCACACTCCACCCAGGCTGCCCCATCCCACACTCCACCCAGGCTGCCCCACCCCACACTCCACCCAGGCTGCCCCACCCCACACTCCACCCAGGCTGCCCCATCCCACACTCCAGCCAGGCTGCCCCATCCCACACTCCAGCCAGGCTGCCCCATCCCACACTCCAGCCAGGCTGCCCCACCCCACACTCCAGCCAGGCTGCCCCACCCCACACTCCAGCCAGGCTGCCCCATCCCACACTCCAGCCAGGCTGCCCCATCCCACACTCCAGCCAGTCTGCCCCATCCCACACTCCACCCAGGCTGCCCCATCCCACACTCCACCCAGGCTGCCCCATCCCACACTCCAGCCAGGCTGCCCCATCCCACACTCCACCCAGGCTGCCCCATCCCACACTCCACCCAGGCTGCCCCATCCCACACTCCAGCCAGGCTGCCCCATCCCACACTCCAGCCAGGCTGCCCCATCCCACACTCCAGCCAGGCTGCCCCACCCCACACTCCAGCCAGGCTGCCCCACCCCACACTCCAGCCAGGCTGCCCCATCCCACACTCCAGCCAGGCTGCCCCATCCCACACTCCAGCCAGGCTGCCCCATCCCACACTCCACCCAGGCTGCCCCATCCCACACTCCAGCCAGGCTGCCCCATCCCACACTCCAGCCAGGCTGCCCCATCCCACACTCCAGCCAGGCTGCCCCATCCCACACTCCAGCCAGGCTGCCCCATCCCACACTGCTCGCCCCATCCCACACTGCTCGCCCCATCCCACACTGCTCGCCCCATCCCACACTGCTCGCCCCATCCCACACTCGCCCCATCCCACACTGCTCGCCTCATCCCACACTGCTCGCCTCATCCCACACTGCTCGCCCCATCCCACACTGCTCGCCCCATCCCACACTGCTCGCCCCATCCCACACTGCTCGCCCCATCCCACACTGCTCGCCCCAGCCCACACTGCTCGCCCCATCCCACACTGCTCGCCCCATCCCACACTGCTCGCCCCACCCTCCCACCTTGGAAGATGTCCCACTCGGACCCCTCTATATCCATCTCCACCACCACCGTGTCCTCTGGCGTCAGCTGCACCTCTGGTGTGCGCCTCTGCCCTGTGCCTCACACGCGCCACGCACCTACTCCTCCTCCCTGCGCCACACCCACCCACCATGAAAGATGGGCCACTCGGACCCTTCAATGTCCATCTTCACCACCACCGTGTCCTCTGCCCTCTGCCCTGTGGCGTCAGCTGCAGCTCTGGTGTGCGCTTCTGCCCTGTGCCTCACATACAATTCTCACATACATTTCTCACATGCTTCAGCTGCTTCCCTCCCTCACCTTGGAAGATGGCCCACTCGGACCCCTCTATATCCATCTTCACCACCACCGTATCCTCTGGCGTCACCTGCAGCTCCTCCAGCAGCCATCGCGTCACGTTCACTATGTTCTGCGGTGGGGGGTTGATGGGAAGAGAGGAGCAAGGGGAGAGCGGATGGGGATCGTGAGTCAACTCAGAACGCTCCTCCAGCAGCCACCGCATCACGTTCACTATGTTCTGCGATGAGGAGTTGACAGGTTTACGAGTCGACGGGGTTTCAAAGGGGAGAGGCGAGCAGGGAGGAAGCGGAGCAGGTGGAGAGACTTTGAGTCGTCTCAGAAGGCTCCTCCAGCTGAGAGGGGAGCAGCAGGAGAGGAGGAAGACAGGAAGAATAATATTTTTGGTGCCTTCTATTGAATCAGAAGCAACCACGTCATGTTCACCACGTTCCGTGATGAGGAGTTGACAGGTTGACGGGGGTCGGAGAGAAAGAGGGAAAGGGAAGGGAGCAGGAGGGTGACAAGATGAGCGGGTTAGGTGCTCCAACCGAACTGCACCAGCAGGTACCGCATGACAACAGTTACGTGCTGCCATGACAACAGCCACGTGCTACCATGACTTGAGGAAACACATGCTGCCATGACTTGAGGAAACACGTGCTGCCAGGACTTGAGGAAACACGTGCTGCCATGAATTGAGGAATCACGTGCTACCATGACTTGAGGAATCACGTGCTGCCAGGACTTGAGGAAACACGTGCTGCCATGAATTGAGGAATCACGTGCTGCCATGAATTGAGGAAACACGTGCTGCCATGAATTGAGGAATCACGTGCTACCATGACTTGAGGAATCACGTGCTGCCAGGACTTGAGGAAACACGTGCTGCCATGAATTGAGGAATCACGTGCTGCCATGAATTGAGGAAACACGTGCTGCCATGAATTGAGGAATCACGTGCTACCATGACTTGAGGAATCACGTGCTGCCAGGACTTGAGGAAACACGTGCTGCCATGAATTGAGGAATCACGTGCTGCCATGAATTGAGGAAACACGTGCTGCCATGAATTGAGGAATCACGTGCTACCATGACTTGAGGAATCACATGCTACCATGACTTGAGGAAACACATGCTGCCATGACTTGAGGAAACACGTGCTGCCAGGACTTGAGGAAACACGTGCTGCCATGAATTGAGGAATCACGTGCTGCCATGACTTGAGGAATCAACCACGCCTCAGCCAGGACCCCGTGTCTTACCCCCCACACCAGCCCTTCCCACGCAACCCCCCCTCACCTGCCCAGCATTGTCACTAGCAGAGGCCATGAAGCGGTGGGCGTGCACCCAGGCGAGCAGGTGTGTATTAAATCGACTCCCTATGCCAGCCTCCATCACACCCCTACCCTCCACACGCTCCCCCTCACCTGCCCAGCATTGTCGCTGGCAGAGGCCATGAAGCGGTGGGCGTGCACCCAGGCGAGCAGGTGTGTATTAAATCGACTCCCTATGCCAGCCTCCATCACACCCCTACCCTCCACACGCTCCCCCTCACCTGCCCAGCATTGTCGCTGGCAGAGGCCATGAAGCGGTGGGCGTGCACCTGGGCGAGCAGGTGTGCATTAAATCGACTCCCTATGCCAGCCTCCATCACACCCCTACCCTCCACACGCTCCCCCTCACCTGCCCAGCATTGTCGCTGGCAGAGGCCATGAAGCGGTGGGTGTGCACCCGGGCGAGCAGGTGTGTATTAAATCGAATCCCTATGCCAGCCTCCATCACACCCCTACCCTCCACACGCTCCCCCTCACCTGCCCAGCATTGTCGCTGGCAGAGGCCATGAAGCGGTGGGCGTGCACCTGGGCGAGCAGGTGTGCATTAAATCGACTCCCTATGCCAGCCTCCATCACACCCCTACCCTCCACACGCTCCCCCTCACCTGCCCAGCATTGTCGCTGGCAGAGGCCATGAAGCGGTGGGCGTGCACCCGGGCGAGCAGGTGTGCATTAAATCGACTCCCTATGCCAGCCTCCATCACACCCCTACCCTTCACACGCTCTCCCTCACCTGCCCAGCATTGTCGCTGGCAGAGGCCATGAAGCGGTGAGAGTGCACCCGGGCGAGCAGGTGTGTATTAAATCGACTCCCTATGCCAGCCTCCATCACACCCCTACCCTCCACACGCTCCCCCTCACCTGCCCAGCATTGTCGCTAGCAGAGGCCATGAAGCGGTGGGCGTGCACCCGGGCGAGCAGGTGTGCATTAAATTGACTCCCTATGCCAGCCTCCATCACACCCCTACCCTCCACACGCTCCCCCTCACCTGCCCAGCATTGTCGCTGGCAGAGGCCATGAAGCGGTGGGCGTGCACCTGGGCGAGCAGGTGTGCATTAAATCGACTCCCTATGCCAGCCTCCATCACACCCCTACCCTCCACACGCTCCCCCTCACCTGCCCAGCATTGTCGCTGGCAGAGGCCATGAAGCGGTGGGCGTGCACCCGGGCGAGCAGGTGTGTATTAAATCGACTCCCTATGCCAGCCTCCATCACACCCCTACCCTCCACACTCTCCCCCTCACCTTCCCAGCATTGTCGCTGGCAGGGGCCATGAAGCGGTGGGCGTGCACCCGGGCGAGCAGGTGTAGTATGGATCGACTCCAATCCCAGCCTCAATCACACCCCTACCCTCCACGCGCTCCCCTCACCTTCCCAGCGTTGTCAATAGCCGAGGCCATGAAGCGGTGAGAGTGCACTCGGGCGAGCAGCCAGGGAGGGAAGTCCGCCGGGCCTGTGTGGATCGGGCGCAGGCGACTGCGATAACTCATGTTGGCGCGTATGGTCTGATGGGGGCAGAAGAGAGGAAGGTGGAAGAGAGGAAGGGGGAAGAGAGGAAGGGGGAAGAGAGGAAAGGGGAAGAGAGGAAGGGGAAGGGGAAGGGGAAGGGGAAGGGGAAGGGGAAGGGGAGGAAGGAGGCCATGAAGCGATGGGAGTGCACCCTGGCGAGCAGCCACGGAGGGAAGTCCGCCGGGCCTGTGTGGAGCGCGCGCAGGCGACTGCGATAGCTCATGTTCGCACGTAGCGTCTGATGAGGGCGGAAGGGCGGAAGGGTGGACAGAGAGAGAGGGGAAAGGGGAGGGGAGGAAGGTGGAAAGAGGAGCGTGGAAAGAGGAAGCGGCAACGAGGTTGATGGAAGCAAAGAGACCCAGGCTGTGAGGGGCATGTGTGAAGCGATGCCATGCCAACACAGCAGCACACCTCTCAACATGTTTCACCCCCTCGCTCCGCTCACCAAGCCTGCAGCATGCACTTGCAACAGGCATTGATGCAACATGCTTTCAGGTTTTGGGTTCCAGACTTAGAGTTCAAGATTTCAGATTTACGGTTCAGATTTCAGATTCATGGTTCAGATTTCAGATTCACGGTTCAGATTTCAGATTCACGGTTCAGATTTCAGATTCACGGTTCAGATTTCAGATTCACGGTTCAGATTTCAGATTCACGGTTCAGATTTCAGATTCACGGTTCAGATTTCAGATTTACGGTTCAGATTTCAGATTTACGGTTCAGATTTCAGATTCACGGTTCAGATTTCAGATTTACGGTTCAGATTTCAGATTCACGGTTCAGATTTCAGATTCACGGTTCAGATTTCAGATTCACGGTTCAGATTTCAGATTCACGGTTCAGATTTCAGATTCACGGTTCAGATTTCAGATTCACGGTTCAGATTTCAGATTCACGGTTTCGGGTTTAGGCTTCCAAATTCCGGATTTCGAGTTTCATGTTCAGGGTTTCCAGGTTTCATTTTAGCGCCTTGGAATCTCATACTAGGGTTTCGGGTTTGACATTTTAGAGTTCGGCGTTGTGGAATCCCATATCAGCGGGTACGATTGCACCCTCTCCCTTGCCCCTCTCCCTTGCCCTCACACCCGCACACACACACCCTTGCAGAAACCGGCACGCACACCCCTGCACTCCCCGTCACCCCTTACCCCCTCCCCCCTCACCTTATGGCTGGGCGCGGGCACTTGAAAGACGCCCTGTCGCACCTCCACGGCATGAATCTCTGTGAAGTCGAGCGGGTACGACTGCAGGAACCACGTGACGCTCGAGTTGAAGAACCGCCCCCCCAGGTCTATCAGGACGCGACGCTTCCTGGGGCAAGCATGGGGCCCGGTGGGCATAGGATTAGCAGGCAGGCATGAGGGAACCAAGCAGGCAGGAACCACGTGACGCTCGAGTTGAAGAACCGCCCCCCCAGGTCTATCAGGACGCGACGCTTCCTGGGGCAAGCATGGGGCCCGGTGGGCATAGGATTAGCAGGCAGGCATGAGGGAACCAAGCAGGCAGGAACCACGTGACGCTCGAGTTGAAGAACCGCCCCCCCCAGGTCTATCAGGACGCGACGCTTCCTGATACAACACAATACGCAAGGGGGACAGCACAGCAGGCAAGGGTGGGATAACAGGGCATGGGGAGCAGCAAGCATGGGGGAGAGCACTGTCCTGTCCTGAGAAGGACGTAATGGTAGGTTTGTTTGTTTGTTTGTTTGCTTTCTATATATATGTATATATATATATATATATATTGCCCATATTCATTGCCAAAAATGCTAAAAGCCCCAGCAGAACCATGCAGGCAGGCAGCACTCACCTGGTGCGCATGGCGGGGTCGAGCACATTGCGCAGCACGGGCAGGATGTGCGTCTTGTCTTCCGCGTCGTCCACGAAGCCCAGCGAGTACCACCAAAAGTACCAGCTCGGCCAGACAGGCCACGTGATTGAAGAAGGGTTTTGAGACGTCTCAAAACCCTTCTTCAATCGCGAGTACAACCAAAAGTACCAGCCCGGCCAGACAGGCCACGTGATTGAAGAAGGGTTTTGAGACTTCTCAAAACCCTTCTTCAATCGCGAGTACGACCAAAAGTACCAGCCCAGCCAGACAGGCGGTACTCACACACTCACCTGGTGTGCATGGCAGGGTCGAGCACAGCTCTCAGCACGGGCAGGATGTGCGTCTTGTCTTCCGCGTCATCCACGAAGCCCAGCGAGTACCCGCGGCGGAACCAGCAGGACCAGACATCACTCACTCACTTGGCGCGCATGGTGGGGTGCAGCGCTCACCTGGTGTGCATAGCAGGGTCGAGCACGGCGCGCAGAACGGGCAGGATGTGCGTCTTGTCCTCCGCATCGTCCACGAAGCCCAGCGAGTACCCGCGGCGGAAGTTGAGGTGCTCGTCCAGCTCCTCTATAGGCAGCCCCGCTACTGGACACGGCGACATGCGCGGTATCCACTGCGGGGGGGAGGAGGGGGTGAGAGGAGGGGAAATGCAGGGGGGAACGCGCGGCGCAGTGGCGGCACGCCAGATTGATTCGAGGCGAGAAGAACTACTAGGTAAGCGAATTGTTCGTAGGTGCTGGTGCCATCGAAAGCGCGGGTGCTTATCTAGCCGTCCCACCTTGGTTGCTTCCCACGGGTCTTCAGCACCGACCGTTGCCGCTGGCTTCGAGATCCAGTCGCTACAATTCCGCACGTCAGCCGTCGATCCGGGATCCGACGGCGTCAACTGCAAGGCAACCAAGATCCACGGCGGAGGCTCCGCCACGTGTAACGAGATCGAGACCGCAGCGACTATGGTGGCGAGAATGGCCCAGGCGAGGGAGAGGCAAGCGGCGATTTTCGGGCGATTAGCGGAGCGCGCGGCCTTGAGTTGCGGGCTGCTGGGGGCTGGGGAATCGGTGAGCTTGCTGCCGGTATTAAAGGGTGCGAGCGCGGGCAAGAGAACGGCCTCGTCGCCCTGGCCTTCCGCGGCGTCGCTGCGGTGAGTCACTCTGTGCTTCGCGCTCTGCATTGCGCCGTCGGCGTGGCTTTGGTTGCGATACAGGGTGGATGAATAAGTTAACGAGAGTTTCCTGTTGTCAGGGGATCCTAAGTATGGTAGCTGCGTTACGAATACTATCAGAACATAAAAATCGAATGTTGCACGGCCGAGAGCCGAACCCGCATGAATATGAGTGGATGAGCTGTTGCGTACCTACCACTACTGCAAACAATATTCGCAAAGCGTCACGGTATGCGATTAATCGCGAAACAATGAAAGAATGAGATAGCTCTGCACTCCCACCATAAGTGAGCCACCTAAATGGTGGCAAGCTGGAGACTCTGAAGCAAGCTTAAAGCGTGTTCAAATTAATTTTTTATATCCTTTGACGTCGGGGGCTCCACGTCGGCAGACGTCGAGCTCGACGTCGATCGACGTCGAACGCGGCACTTTGAACACAATGCCGGCGACGAGCTTCCGCTCAGGACAAAAGCCGGCCTAAATAGTAGAACAACTGAGTTCAAACGAATTTTGGAAATCGCAAGGCCGTTTCGCATGCGTAGACAGTGCCACCAATGGCTGCGAAGCCCACAATACGAATCGTACAGGCTCGTTAACTTCGAGAATTCAATTCTTGTTTTGTTGTTGTTCTGTCTGATGTGGTCTCGTCATCACTGTACAGATGCGCTGAATTCCGTACAATTGTTGATGCTGGCGTAAGCAATTTCTGAAGAGTACTTTGAACACAAAAATGGTACCCCACAGCTTACCTGCCAACCCAACAACCTCGACATCGATTTACGTCGGAAATTTGCAGCACTCTGAACACGCTTTTATGAGGGGAGCGCTGGCGAGGGGGTTCCCGACCAACCGACAAATCCCAGTCATTCTTCGCGAATCAAACTAGCGAATAATGGTCATTTTTGGGGCCCTTTGTGTCTGCTTTCTGGCGGGAAATACTGTGTCAGAACCGAACCGCAGTCGTGTAACGAAACAAAGAGTTTCTGTGAAATGGAAAACTGGATCGGTAGTAGGTTGTGTGCACACAGGTAAGTAGAGATTCAATGCGGTGATGGTAACAAACCTCTCTAAATCTTGCAACAACTTTTTAAACCGTTTTTAAAAGACCTGAGATCCTACCAGGCTAGACACCCCCTAACGGTTTCATTTCCTCTTTACTCTTGTAAATATTCACCCTTTTGCTTTCCCAACATCACCCTTCATACCCGTGTACAGCAATACTAACTTATGTTGCAGCTGCACTTCCCGTTACCACATTGCACTATCTGCTCGTTAGATTCGTGCCCCGCATCAAAGCAGGCTGGTAACCGCGGCCCCTTCCCACAATTTGGTTATTTCCAAACCTCGACGCAAGAACCCCAGCATCGTGCAAACACATGTGCACATAGCCACTCGCTATACACACAACGCAATTCCAAGTACAGCCAACGATACACCCCCTAATGCCAACGCTGGCTGTATTTTCTCCCCGAACGCATAGCCTGCTGCTGCGTTGAAGGCAAAGGTGGCACCGTTGCTAACTGGCACTGCCACAGAGACGTGCACGCCCCTTAGGGTGAGGAAGAATAGGACTGAACCCGAGAGGTTGAGGCACAGAGGCACGTAGTACTGGGAATGAGGAAGAAGGGAGAGGGGTGGGTGGGTGGGGGGTGTGCAGAAGTGGGTATATTGAAGAGAGGAACTGAGGGTGGGAGGCTGCAGAGGTTGCTGACCGGCACTGCCACAGAGACATGCACGCCCCTCAGGGTGGAAAGACAGGGATGAGCCCGAGAGGTTGAGGCACAGCGGCACGTAGTACTGTGGGGGTGGGGGAAGAGGGAACGGAGTGGGGAGGGGAAGGGGAAAGGCACTGGTCCTTGCTGATTGGGAGAGACGTGCACGCACCTTAGGGTGAGGAAGCAAGGGAGTGAACCTGACAGGTTGAGGCACAGAGCTGTGTAGCACTGTGGGGATAGGGAGTGCAGAGAGGGAAGGCAGTGGTTGTTGCTGACTGGGCTGGGATAGACGTGGGTGGCTCTCAGGGCACCCACGTGAAAGAAGAGAGTGAGCCGGAGAGGCTGGAAGCACAGATGCGTGTGTTGTACTGACGGAGGTGGGGGGCGGAGGGGGGAGGAGGGGGGAGGAGGGGGGATGAGGAGGGGGGATGAGGGGGGAGGAGGGGGGAGGAGGAGGGAGGAAGGGGGAGGAGGGGGAGGAGGGGGAGGAAGGGGGAGGAAGGGGGAGGAAGGGGGAGGAAGGGGGAGGAAGGGGGAGGAAGGGGGAGGAAGGGGGAGGAAGAGGGAGGAAGGGGGAGGAAGGGGGAGGAAGGGGGAGGAAGGGGGAGGAAGGGGGAGGAAGGGGGAGGAAGGGGGAGGAAGGGGGAGGAAGGGGGAGGAGGGAGCTGAACCCATCAAGTGCCTGGACTCTGCCAGGCAAGGGAGGGAGGAGGCTTGACGGCGACGCTGGAAACGATCCACGGGAACGGGAGATGGGAGGGAGATAGTGTCCCGTTCCACTATAGTGGAAGAGGACATGGCGGAAGGAAAGGGACGGGGACGATAACGAGGAGGGAGGTGAGTGCGCCCATCGTCAAATGGCTACACTTCGCAGGGACGGTGGCAAGGGAGGGAGGACGGGGGACGGGGACGCAGGAAACGTCTACATTCCCGCCAGGCATGACCGTCAAGCAGCCCACTCAAAGTACTCTGTTGGCCTCACGACTTTTGAGACGTCTCAAAAAGGGACGGGGACGCCGGAAACGTCTACATTCCCGTCGCTGACGGGAGGCATGACTGTCAAGCAGCCCACTCAAAGTACTCTGTTGGCCTCACGTTTCTGACTCTCCATTGAAACACGAGCCCACAATTAGTTTTTAACGCGTATGGTTGGAGCTTCTAAGTAATGCCGCTAACATATCTCTGATCCCTTGCCTCCTACCTACTCCCTCCCGTCGACCAACCTGCCAATCACGGGTAACCACGTGGACGAATCTCCTGCATCTGAAGTCCAATCTCTGAGAAAACGACATGGAAGCTTCCATTCCGGCAGTTTTGCCGGCAGCTGCGGCGGATTCGTCCGCTTTGATGTGCCGCTTCGACATCGCGGCGCCGCGCTTGATGAGCGGATTCGTAATCCCCCAGACCGCGCCGACCAGGAGCAGCCATGCGATATCGCTCGCTGCGACTGCGACTGCGACCATCCCTGCGACGGACGACGTGCGAATCAAGGGGGGCCACAGTCGTAGTGGCTTTATCTTCTTCTATTCTCCGCCAATCAAATCCAAATGTCGGGTTTCGCCGATCACAAAGGTACGCTATGGTTGCCGCGGTAAACTAATGATCGGAGAAGTACTGGTATGTGGTTGACCAGCAGAAAACGGATTCTACTTTGGTAGAATGGTTTCCCTCAAAACGGACGCGATACTCGCATCGCAAGTACCGGAAAATACTCGAGTCGAAAAAGGTCATCAAACACAAACATTTTAGAGCGTTACTGGCGTTTTCTCTTAACATTTCTAAGTTATGTTTTGTGACTGAGCAACTTCAAGCCTAATTGTGGCATCCATCCCTCTCCAACTTCTACACAATGCTCTCTGGCATCACATTTTTTAAAAGTAATGTACTTTGAGTCACTAGTTGGGAATATCCCCCCCCTCCCTCTGCTGCACTTGTCGTTGCCGCAACCCAACACCCGCCCCACCACTTGTCTCACCGCCACTTGCGGACGGAGCCTCCCCATCCCTGTGCCCGTTCCCATCCCCATCTCCATGCCCATCCCTCCCGCCTTCCCCATTACCCCTGCCTTCCTCATGCCTCTCCTGTATCTCGGCCCCACTGCCTAGAGCATTCAGAGATTCCACTCCACCATCAGCAGCAGCATTGGCAGCAGCAGCACTGGCACTGGTGGCGACAGCACCAGCGTTAGCACCGACAGCATCAGCATCACCACCAACAGCATGAGCAGCATCTTCTGTGTCCGCGACTGCAGCAGCAGTACCAGCACCAGCATCCGCTTCAGCATCAGCAACGGCAGCATGAGCATCAGCAATGGCAGCATCAGCATCAGCAATGGCGGCATGAGCAGCAGCAGTGGTGTTTCGTAACCACCAGAGCACAGAGAGCATACCGAGCAGCACCATCACCACTACTGTGTCCCACTCCCCTAACTCCTGCCACACCCTGCTGCCCTTGCTGCTGCTGCTGCCGCCACCGCTGCCGGCGCTCCTACTGCTGCTCCTGCTGCTGCCACCAGTCTCGCTGATGCCGCTACCATAGCTGTTGCCATCCTCAGGGAAAAGCAAGTTTTCCAGCTCCCCAAACACATAGTCCTCGAAATCCAGCCACCACTGCGAGGCCGCTGAGATGGACTGCATCACCGTTGACGCAGCGCGACTCAGCGCTGACACGATTGCACTAACGAACGACATCGCACCGGGTGCTGATGTGGAGGAAGAGATGGCGTAGCGAGGGAGGAGGGGGAGGAGGAGGGAGCGCAGGGAGGAGGGGAGGAGGCGGAGGAGGGAGAGGGAGTGGAGGGCGAGGGAGACGGGGAGAGCCTCGTCGTTGTGGCAGTAGAGCAGCGCTGAGGAGAGCAGCTCGTGTGCTCGGGTCAAATTTACGGGGACTATGATAGTAATATTGGCGTTGCTGCTGCCGCTGCTGCTGCTGCTGCTGGTATTGCCACTGGTGTTGGTGGCACTGCTGCTGCCCCACAGGAGAGCGCCTGCACTGTACCCACCTGTGCTGTTATCGAGGCCCACTATATGGAGGTAGGCGAGGTGGAAAAGCGCCTCTGGCTCGTGCAGGTCTGCTGCCCGCTGCAGCAGAGACAGGGGGTCGCAGGGGAGAGAATCTCGGGCACTGGTAACCGGCTGTGCTGTCGTGGAGTTTTGATCAACGGCTGGGAGTGACTGTGCAGGATGGTGCGGATCAAGGGCTGGGATTGACTGTGCAGAAAGGTGTGGATCAACGGTGGAAAGTGACGGTGGCGGTGGGAGCGGCAGCAGCGAGGGCAGGTGGTGGATGAGCATGAGGAGAGCCGCATCCACCATGGCCGGTGCTGATCCGATGTGCACCGCCCTCATTGCGTGGTCTAGCGCCAACGAATAGCGATCCGAGGCTGGTGGAAGGGGGGGATTGCAGAGAGGAGAAGGGCAACACAAGGGATGACGCATGAACAGGAGTGTGATCAGATCCGCGTCCACCATGGCTGGGGATGACCTGATGTGTACCACCCTCATCCTGTGGTCCAGCACTAGAGCATAGCGGTCAGAGGCTGGTGGGTGGAAGGAGGGAAGGGAGGGAGGGGAGGGGGGAAGGAGGAAAGTGTGGATCAGAGATCCGGCTCCGCCCTCCGTGCAGCCGTCTTCGGTGAAGCCGACCACGGCGAAGCCGACTTCCTGGTCCATGCTGACTTGGACGATCAAGTCACCGTGGTTAGCCGACTTGCAGCATTAGCTGACTTCGGGGAAGTCGGCTACAGCGGAGCCGAATTCGGCGAAGCAGGCCGTGACGTTGGTCGACGAGGTGAAATCGGCGGCCGACGAAGGTGTTCCTTGACATGACACCAACTTGGGGGAGACGACTTGAGGACGTCGGCGGCCTCCTCTAGTCGACTGTGTAACTTGTCGACGAAGCTCTGCGGGGGTGCGCGAACGTCGTCCAGGTAGTCTTGACGATGTCGACCTACGTGGCAGCACGTGGTCGATGTGGTGCATCTGGCGCAACTGTCGACACGTGGCCGATTAAGTACCTGCGCGATGTGCATAGCGGTGCACAACTTGCTCAACTGTTTACCTGCACCTGCAAAGTAGGTGCACACATGCGCGCAAAAGCACAATTGCGGTTGCAATGCTGGCCAGCCGCCTTGCTGCAGCGTTGGCAAGCCGCCCTAGTGCAGCGCTGGCAGGTCGCCGACTTGCAGTGTTGGCAACCCGCCTTCGAGCTGCGTTGGCACGCCGTCGACTTGCCACGCTGGCAAGCCACCCTCGTGTTGTGCTGGGGGTCAACCTGCCTGCTTGTTAGGCTTGCTAGGTCCCAGATGTAGTCACCATTGCCAATATATTTTGTATATTTTTTCTCAACCTTTCTTAATGAAACTCTTGCCGTTTTGCCCCGCGAACCCACACATGAGCAAGTACGAAGAGAACGTTACAATCACTCGTTCCACCCGTGCCTTCTCCGGAGTCTAGCTCCCACCGGTGTTGAGTCTAGCTCCGCAGAAATGACACCACATGAGAAAAATGGGGGCAATCATAGCACGGTCTACAACAAGAGAATGGCGAGACGGGGCTGGTGGAGAGGAGTAAGGGGGGGAACAAGGGGGAGCACAGGACAGCACAACCCAACTCACAGTCCCACCCAACCAGGGGACGGTGTGTTCCAACACCCCAAGACCAAGCCCATATCCCACTCACCCATCCACCCCTTCCTTCCCTCTTGCTCAAGTATCCCTTTCACGCTTCCCAACCCTAAGTGGAGAAAGACGCGTCCTGCGTCTAGGACGCTTGCGTCCAGACGCAGCGTCTTAGACGCAGGACGCTAGAGGAGGGCCTTTAGGACGCATGAAAAGACGCATGCCCGGGCAGGGCAAAAAAACCCCCGGGCAGCCGAAAAATGATGTTATAGGGTATGGGAAGGGGAGGGGGGAACAACGATGCACACATTTGAGGCAAAATTGTCCCTTTTACATTTCCAGGGTTTAAGGTTTACGAAGGAGAATTGTCTTGGTAAACCCTCTAGGGTGTTTTTGATGGTCGAAATGGGTTAGGGGGGGTCGACATGACACGAAATCGACAGTCGCGTCGAAATCGTTGAAGTCAATTTCGCGCTGAGGCAATTTTTTTTCTTCCGGTCAGCCCGAAAATAAAAACGAGGTGCGTCCTGCGTCTCTGCGTCTGGACGCTGCGTCCAGACGCAGGACGCAGCAGGACGCGTGCGTCTTTCTCCACTTAGTCCCAACCCACTCACCTGAGTAACCCTGACTGCGCATTAGCATTTGGGCAGCATTCTCTGCTGCCACTTTGCTCCCCTCCTCTGCCACCATTCCGTACCGCACCAAACCACTCCACCAATCCCCATCCTCATACGCTGCAGCAGCCTCCTTCAGCTCCGCCGCCCACCCAATGCGCTCCGAGACAAAAATGCCATACAGCTTCGCCGCCCGGGAACAGTTCCGGGGAACTGTAGCAGCGCCAGAATCAGCAGCACCACCAGCAGCAGCAACAGCAGCAGAGTAAGCAGCAGAAGCAGAAACCAACGATCCGTCAAGAATCCTAGCCAGGGTATAGGGGGCACTCCACTGCCCTGCATCCATGGCCCTCTCAAAGTAACCCACCGCTGTGGTTGCATTCGCAGGTACACCCAGCCCGTCGAAGTGAATATACCCTAAGTTTGAAAGGGCGTCCGAGTCGTTTCTCTCTGCTGCTTTCATGAAAAAATCACGAGCGAGGATCAAGTCTTGCTTTACCCCCCATCCGTTTTGATGCAGGACTCCCAGCCCGTTCTGGGCAGCTGCAAGTTTGTTCCTGCCCGACGCCGCCTGCAGAAAATATTTTCGGGCAGCGGTGAAGTTCTTCGGGACTGCCCCGCCTGCCCCGGTCATGTGCATGTAGCCGAGGTTGAAGGCTGCCACGTCATCACCAGCAGCAGCGGCCAATTGGAAGTGACGAAGGGCTTCCTGGGGGTTGCGGGGAATCCCTTGGCCGATGAGGTGGCGAAATCCCATTAGTCGAAGGGATTCCGGCACCCCTCGCTCTGCCAGGTCTTGCTCAAACTCCACCTGGAAAGGGCAGGGTAGCGTGAGAGAGGAGGGGTGCGAGAGGAGGGTGAGAGACAAAGAGAGAGAAGTTTCTGCCCCCCACACCCCCTTTCCGCTGTTTGCCACATCCCATTCAGACTCCACCTTGGTAGGCAGATGGCGGGGAAAAGAGGGGTGGGGTAGGGAAGAGACCAGGTCAGGTGAGGGGAGCAAGGAGAGGAGACAAGAGCAAAATTTTGGGCCCTCTGCTCAAACTCCATCTAGGGACGGCAGAGGGCAGGGAGGAGGGACGGGGGTTGGGAGGAAGGACGGGAACGAGAGCCCTCGTTTTTGAGTCGACTCAAAGGAAGGACAGGAACGAGAGCTTAAGGGCGACAAGGAGAGCCCTCGATGAGGGAACCAGGGGAAGGGCTTAAGGGCGACACGGCGAGGAAGAAAAGGACTGTCACCTCGTGGCCCCGGATCCCCCTGGGTAAAGCAGAGGGCGGGGAAGAGGGCAGGGTGCGGCGGGAGGGAGGAGAAAAGGGACGGGAAGTGGTGTGGGAAACGCAAGAACAGGGCTTAGTTGGTTTAGGGCATGGCATGTACACGTGCTTTAAGTGTGTGCGTCCTGATTTGACGTAATGGAACAGGGGGGAAAGGGAGAGTAAGCGTTGAGTATGGGAGGGAAGGAGACGAGAGGGAACCGATACGAAACCCCTTACCGCTCTGCTACTCTCACCAACAAAGGGAAGAGCAAAGCAGCAGGAACCCTTCACTTCACTCTTGAGACGTCTCAAAAGAGCAAAGCAGCAGGAACCCTTCACTTCACTCTTGAGACGTCTCAAAAGAGCAAAGCAGCAGGAACCCTTCACTTCACTCTTGAGACGTCTCAAAAGAGCAAAGCAGCAGGAACCCTTCACTTCACTCTTGAGACGTCTCAAAAGAGCAAAGCAGCAGGAACCCTTCACTTCACTTCACTCACCTGCTCCGCATGGGCATCGTCGAACGTCCGCGGGTGGAACCCCCATCTCAGATGCCTCTGCCTCTGCTGCTGCTGCACTTGCAGCTAAGAGAACAAAGCACTGGAATGGAAAGCTGGTAGGAGGAGATAGCACCAGCTTCAGCTAAGAAGTGAGGCAGGACACACGGGGCCCTTGGGCAGCTGCTGGTCACCTGTCGCCTCTGCTGCTGCTAACAGGTAACAGGTCCGCTGCTGTTGCATTAGCACTAGGTGAACAGAGCAACATCCCTACCTACCCACCTGCTCTGCATGGTCATCGTCAAACGCTTGAGGCTGGAAGCCCCCATCTCGAAACCAGTCTCTCAGACGAACAGGGTCCTTGGGCAGTTGCTGGTCGTCCCACGCCTCTGCTGCTGCTGCTGCTGCTGCTGCTGCTGCTGCTGCTGCTGCTGCTGCTGCTGCTGCTGCTGCTGCTGCTGCTGCTGCTGCTGCTGCTGCTGCTGCTGCTGCTGCTGCTGCTGCTGCTGCTGCTGCTGCTGCTGCTGCTGCTGCTGCTGCTGCTGCTGCTGCTGCTGCTGCTGCTGCTGCTGCTGCTGCTGCTGCTGCTGCTGCTGCTGCTGCTGCTGCTGCTGCTGCTGCTGCTGCTGCTGCTGCTGCTGCTGCTGCTGCTGCTGCTGCTGCTGCTGCTGCTGCTGCTGCTGCTGCTGCTGCTGCTGCTGCTGCTGCTGCTGCTGCTGCTGCTGCTGCTGCTGCTGCTGCTGCTGCTGCTGCTGCTGCTGCTGCTGCTGCTGCTGACAGCTGTGCTGCTGTGCTGCAGTAGCACTAGGCAAACAACGCATCATCCCTACCCACCTGCTCCGCATGGTCATCGTCGAATGCTTGGGGCTGGAACCCCCCATCTCGGAACCAGTCCCTTAAGCGAACAGGGTCCCTGGGCAGCTGCTGATCGCCTGAAGCCTCTGCTGCTGCTGTTGCTGCTGACGCTCTCCTGCTGCTCCACTACCACTAGGCGAACAAGGCATCTTCCCTCTACTCACCTGCTCCGCATGGTCATCGTCGAACGCCTGAGGCTGGAACCCCCCGTCGCGGAACCAGTCCCTCAGACGCACGGGGTCCTTGGGCAGCTGCTGGTCGCCTGATGCCTCTGCTGCTGCTGACAGGTCTGCTGCTGTGCTGCGATAGTAGGCTAGTGATGCCTCACAGTCAGTGGGAACTCCACGGCCCTGGAACAGAGAGTGGTTGAGAGTGGTTGGAAGAGGCAGAAAAGAGGGTTTCAAAGTGGCCTCAAAGAACAGACACCCCTGCTAGTGAAGAGAGCAGGTGAAGAAGGCTATATGGACTCTGCTGCTGCTGACAGGTCTGCTGCTGTGGCTGTTGTAGTAGGCTTGTGATGCCTCACAGCCAGTGGGAACTCCACGACCCTGCATGAGAGAGAGGTTAAGAGAGAGTGGCGGGAAGGGGCAGAAAAGAGGGTTTTAGAGTGGCCTCAAAGAACCAAGACCTCTGCTGCTGCTGACAGGTCTGCTGCTGTGCTGCGGTAGTAGGCTAGTGATGCCTCACAGTCCGGAACGTTACGGCCCTGCTACAGAGAGTGGTTGCCTCTCAGAGAGTAGGTATCCCCCGACCCTGCAAGCAACTAAGGGAGCAGAGGAAGGGAATGAGTTAAGGGGTGAAGAAGAGAACTTGCTCCTATCCTGGCAACGAGCACGCATGAAGCCAAGCCAACTAAGTAAACCTTTGAGGTGCCTCGAGGACAGGAAGAAATGTCGGGCCAATTGAAGAAGCGAATCTGTTTGTTTGTTTGTTTGTTTTTTCCCCCCTTAGAATTCTCAAGAAACAGACTCGAGGACAGGAAGGGAATAGATGCCGGGCCGACTGAAGAAGCGAACATGCATGGAGTCAAGATGTCTGAGCTGAGCAGTACCTCACCATACCGGGTTCGAATGCAACACACTCGGTGGCTGGGGGGTTGCTACAGTGGCTCTAAATCTGAACTGCAAGAATAACAGTGTGACACTGGCTTCATCCCACTAATGAATGACATCATAAAGAGCACGGAGAGCACTCACATATAGGAAGCGGCTGGCGAGTGCAGCCATGGCCTGCATGGAGCCTGGGAGCTTCATGATCCCCGTAAAACATCAGTTAATAAAGAGGACAATGTATGGCTGACTCACGTAGAGGAAGCGGCTGGCGAGTGCAGCCATGGCCTGCATGGAGCCTGTCTCTGCTGCCAGACGCAGGAAGTGCAGCGCCTGAAGAGATCAGATAATGTTGCGGGGGGGCGGATGGGACGAGGAAAAGGTACAGGGTTGACTTGAGTGGAAGGGTTCCTTCCCTGCCTGCCTGGAGCCGGTCTCTGCTGCCAGACGCAGGAAGTGCAGCGCCTGATGGGATAAAGGAGCAGGTGGATGGATAAGAGGAACGGATTGACAGAAGAGGTTGGATGAGTTGAGTGGAAGGCATGATGTGTGTCTGTGGGTTCACTGTCTCCGGAAAACCCACACCCTTACAGAAAAGACATGAAATGCACCCACACCCTCACAGAACAGACATGAAATGCACCCACACCCTCACAGAAGAGACATGAAATGCACCCACACCCACCCACCCACTTACACCCTCACACTCACCAGAGTTTCATTCCTCGGGTAGACTTCCTCCCCTGCGAATCCTGTAGCAGCCATCACAGCCAGCAGGAAAGCCGCATCACTCGCCACCACCACCTCCTCCTCACTCACCCCCTCATCTCCCCCTTTCCCCTTGCTCTCTTCTCCCCGTCTCGATCCCAACGACACCCTCTCCTCCTGCCCCATCCCCCTTTCACCCCTTTCTGCCCCTTCCTCCTCCTCCTCAATCTCCTCCTCACTCTCTTCCTCCTCTTCATATTCCTCATCTCCCTCATCTCCCTCATCTCTCTCATCCCCCTCATCATCTTCCTTCAGTGCTCTCAGAGCATCAGCCCGCCAGGCAGCGTCTGCATCTGCGATCCCTTGTGAAAGGCTGCTCTCCTGCACCACCCCGCCCTCTGCTGTAGCCTGAGTCCCTGCCTGCACTGCCCCGGCCTCTGCTGTAACCCCCCCTGCCTGCACTGCCGCCTCATCATCTTCCTTCAGCACTCTCAGAGCATCAGATCGCCAGGCAGCGTCTGCATCTGCAATCCCTCGTAGAAGGCTGCTCTCCTGCACTGCCTCATCCCCTGCCGCAACCCTCCCCTCCTGCACCGCCCCACCCTCTGCCGTACCCCTCCCCTCCTGCCCTGCATCTGCTCCTCCCCCGGCCGCTGCCCCTCCCCCTTCCCCTGCCACTGCCCCTCCTACTTGCCCTCCCCCTCCCCCGCCCATTCCCCCCTCCTGTTCCAGATGCCCCAACCCAGTTTCTGCGGTCGAAGTGGAGAGTTGGGAGGAGGGGGAGGAGGAGGCGGAAGGGGGAAGAGGAGGGGCGGGGCTGGAGGGGAAGGGGAAGAAGGGCGCGGGGGGGAGGGGCGGCAGGAGGGCAGCCATGTTCTTCAACTGCTGCAGAGCTGCTGGCACGTTGCGCTTGGACTTGCGAGCGAACTGGGGAGGAGGGAGGGGAGTGGGTGGGGAGGGGGGTAGGTGGGGGAAGTCATGAAAGGAATTGGGGGAGGGGCGGCAGGAGGGCAGCCATGTGCTTCAACTGCTGCAGAGCTGCTGGCACGTTGCGCTTGGCCTTGCGAACGAACTGCAAGGGGGGTGGAGAGGTGGGGGGATAGGGGGGATGGAGGAGAAGAAGGGAGGCAAGCGCGATAAGGGCAGGAGCGCAGGAGGGCGGCCATGGGCTTCAACTGCTCAATGGCTGCTGGCACGTTGCGCTTGGCCTTGCGGGCGAACTTAGGAGGGAGGGGAGTTGGTGGGGACGGTGGTAGGTGCAGGAAGTCATGAAGGGGATTCAGGGAGAGGGGCAGGAGGGCGGCCACGTGTTTCAGCTGCTTAATGGATGCTGGCACGTTGCGCTTGGCATTGCGGGCGAACTGGAGAACGGGAATGGGGAGGAACTGCTATGTGCTGTAACTGCTTAATGGCTCCTGGCACGTTGCGCTTGGCCTTGCGAGTAAACTGAGGAGGGGGTTGGGGACGGGGTTGGGGAGAGTCATGAAGGGAGGTGAAGGAGGGGCGGCAGGAGGGCAGCCATGTGCTGTAACTGCTGCAGGGCTGCTGGCACGTTGCGCTTGGCCTTGCGGGCGAACTGAGGAAGGGTGAAGTGAAGGAGGGGCGTGGGGTAAGGGAAGGGGGAAGGGAGGGGGAGGAAGCGGAGGGAGGGGATCATAGGATGGGGAAGGATGTGCTTCAATTGCTTTCAGAAATTATTTTTAATTCAAATGTTGTTAACCAGCATACATCAACAATAACCCTAATAAGATATTTAAAACACACACACTTGGCACTCACCAGCATATCCACGTCACTCACCAGCATAGCCACGTCACTCACCAGCATATCCATGGCATCTAGCAGATCCTCATTCGTGAACCGAGCAGCCTTGGGGTTGCCGCCGCCTGTCTGCACACCGCCACTGTTTCCCCCCCTTAAATCTCCCCCTGCTGCACCAGCACTATCCCCTGTTGCCCCAGCGCCTTCCCCTGCACGACTATTGCCTTTCCTGCCCGCCCCGCCAGCCACCTTACTGGGGTCAGACAGATGGTGCCTTCGCCTCATGCCGCCACCACTACCACCACTGCTGCTACCGCCGCCGCTGCCACCGCTGCTACCACCGCTGCTACTGCTACTGGTACCATCGCTGTTACCAGGTAACGCATCAGGCTCAGCAGCAATTCCTACTGTTGTTGTTCCTGTTCCTCCTGCCCCTGCTGCTTCCTTTTCTGCTGCTTCCCCTGCTGCTCTTTCCCCCGCTGCTGATTCCCCTGCAGCTGCTGCTGCACCTGTCTCTGCCGTTGTAACAGCAGCTGCCGCTTCTTCTACCCGGTCGCCTGGTTCCCGCAAAGAGCCTGCTGCTCGGAATCCTTCTGTAGCTCTGTCTAACAAATCTCTTCTTGACACTGCTCCAGGTGACTCAGATTCAGGTGGTGTTTCTCCTCCGGGTGTTTCTCCTCCAGGTGTTTTTGCTCCAGGTGTTTCTTCAGCAGGTGTGGATGTGCCAGGCGAAATTTCTGCGCCATTGGATGCCACGGAAGGGGCTGAGGAGCCAAGAACCACTGAAATGCGGGGCGACGGGGAGAGAGGGATGCAATGCGAGAACAGAAATGAGGTCTGGTACGGTGGAAACGCGTTCGCATGTGGCTACGCCAGGCGAACTCTCTGCGCCATTGGATGCCATGGAAGGGCCTGCGGAACCAAGAGCCACAGAAATGGGGGAGGAGGAGGAGAGATGTATTGTGGTGACTTTTGGGTCGACTCAAAAGTCACTCTCTGCGCCATTGGATGGCACGGAAGGGCCTGCCGAGCCAAGAACCACTGAAATGCGGGACGGGGAGGAGGGATGTATTGCGAGAACAGAAATGGGGTATGGTACGATGGAAACGCGTTCGCATGTGGTAAGACGAGATGGCAAAGGGCGAGATGCGGTTGCGAGAGATGTCAGGCGGTGAGGAGGAAAGAAAGGTTGAGTGTGTATGTCAGTATGGGAAGACCACAGCAGCAGAACCAAAGCCGCGAATCTAGACACACATGTCGAGACAGACAACGAATTATCAGCCCAAAACGACGACATGAAATCAGAAATGACATCTAAGCGGGGGTAGGGATTGTGACTGGAAGTAGTGAGACGCGCGTACCCTGGAACGGCTGGGACAGGAGAAGCACGAGCACCAACAACCACGCTACCGCTCCCAGCGAAACCCTCATTTTGCCACGCTGGATCCAACTCCGAGTCAGCGTCCGCCACGTGCGCAACGTCCTTTCTGCAGGATCTGAGTCATTTTGTGGCTCTCTCCAAACTGTCCGCTGCGAAAGCCGCGTGCTGCTGATGGTGTCGCTTCGAGTGTGTAGCGCAGGATCCATCATTGCACCGTGATGACGCGCGGACGTGATTCGACTAGGACGATGCTGATGATGCTGATTATGGGGCTTCGCCAGATTCAGTGTACACTACCATGAATGATCCGAATACATTCAAGTCGAAATGCGTGTGACGACTTGCGATGCGCCTCAAAGCTTCGAGGCGCCTAAAGAAAAGCGTCCGCTGACGGTTCCTCCTGTTCAAGCAACACCCGTCGTTTCTACAGCACGCTACGTCCTACGTGGCATGCTGCGATCGGTCGACAAGGATATTTGGCAGATCACTCTCGCAGGCCGGCAGCCCGAACCGCGGACGCAGGTGGGTCGGGTGGAACAACAAAACACGAATCGCTTAGAATCGTACTCGATACACGCAACCTCGATAAGTTGAAAAATGCAATGCTACTGGAGCATGGAAAGGCGGTTCTAGTCAGTAGTGCCTCGTATAACGGAGGCTCTTTCTGCTTGTACCCTAAACGCTGTGCTTGGCTGTGGCCATGGCTGTCGTCGTCACAGAACTCCCCACGACAAAATAGCCTAAGCAGATTCCTAGGCCCTGCTCGGTAGCCTTCCAGTCACACTGGGACCACTCGAACTTTTTTTTGGGTTGCGAAGCAACCTATTGCGATCGATTTGGCCAGTTTTTTGGGTTGCGAAGCAACCCTTTACGATCGATTTTGCCAAATTTTATTTTCATGTTTATATTTTTTAAAAAAATCATGAAAATAAATTTTGTCAACTACAGTACTACCCTTCCCAAACTGTATGCATGTTGAGCAGTTTTGAATACGGTACTGTTCATAGTGCATTATTCCATATGAATATTTTGCAATTGTTTAGTGGAGATTTGCTGTACTGTTTGCATTATATGTTACTGTTAGATGATGTTGTGTAATGATGAAGAGGTGCATGCGTAATGCATAAATGATGCTATACAATGCATAATGCATAGAATGATGTATATAATGCATGTGATGTGTGATGAATGATGCACATGCACATGATAAAATGCGTGACAGTTAACAACCCAAAAACTAAGCTATCGCCATCCCCTGCCTAGCATGGGGGGGAGGTCAATAGCAAAATCTTTGAATAATCAACTAGCACATGAAAAAATACAATTTGTTAACTCTAAAAAAGAGGTTCACTCTATCAAATCCAGTTCGAAGTGGCAAACACACGAGTCACTGAGTGCGCCAATGAACCAATTAGAAATGATAGAAATGAACCCCCTTTTTAAAATTGACAGACATGCATTGATATTGCAATGACAGATGAGATGAATGCACTCACACGAACAAACACATTCACACAATAAAAAACACGAGCTCCGGCAAACCCAGCCAAAAAACACGAGATACACGCGAACTACATAACAAGTAAATCAATGTTAAAAGGACAATACGATAAATCCTAGTGACCAATACACATTTTCTGGATTGAAATCGCGTTCCTGACCGGAAAGGCCCCTGACAAACGGGTTTAGGAAGTGGAAAGGAGGAACGGAAATGAATAGCCGGTACAACAAACAAAACAGAAAAAAGGCATAAGGTGTGATGAAATGAAGAGAAACAGGAATAACGAAGAAACAAATGAATCAATACAAGGGCTAAGAAAAACGCCGTGAGCATTGAATGGTTAGACTTGACAAAGAGCATGGAGAAGAATCTGACGAGGCATAAAACGAAAATAAGGAACGGGAATAGAGGAACAAAATACCGAGACAGTAAACGAAAGAAGAGAATATAACGAATACAGAGAGCGAGAACAACGAAGAGCGAGAGCGAGAGCAGGAGCGAGAGAGGACTAGAGAGAGGGGACGAGAGAGAGGGGACGAGAGAGAGGACGAGAGAGAGAGAGAGAGAGAGAGAGAGAGAGAGAGAGAGAGAGAGAGAGAGAGAGAGAGAGAGAGAGAGAGAGAGAGAGAGAGAGAGAGAATGAGAGAGAGGGAGAGAACGAGAGAGAAAACGAGAACGAGAGAGAGAGAACGAGAGAACGAGGACGAGAGAGAGAGAACGAGAGAGAGAACGAGCGAGAACGAACGAGAGATAGAGAGAGTGTTCAATAAATTACGATTTCTACGATTTCGAAAAAAAACATGTGTAAAAACAAGATCTAAGCCGACCTAGTTTAGATCTAAGCCGTCCTGTGTTAGAATTAAGTCGACCTAACAAGTATCGAACGCGTTTAAGTTGCAAGTTAGGAGCTTACCTAGCGGAAGTCCCGTAGCCCGTCAGCAGAACGAGAGGAAGTAGGAAAGGGAGGGCTAACTAAGAATAGGAAGTAAATGACGACAATAAGAGCTTACATCTTACCATGAGCTAACAACTCTAAATGACATCTTAAACTTTCTGACCTTGGAGTGGTAGGTGGAGCGTAAGTAGCATGAGGCAAAAGAACAAGCTCCACTGGCGAGAAGAAAAGAGAAAGAGAAAACGAATACCTAGAACCTAGAACATAGGCTTAATCAAACTATTTTTTTAAAACGCGGCCAACACAAGAGGAAACAACTATGGTACGAGATTAACGCATGCTAGTCTCGCTAGAAATCAGGTAACTTAATTCTACTTGAAACGGTAAGGTAGAGTTGTTCTCACCTTAGTAGGAACGGGTAGGTGGGGCGTGAGTAGCGGGGAGCTAAACCAGCGAGCGGAAGGGAGGGAGAATGAAAGGAAGAGCCAACCTAACAAAGTGTCAGATTCGTCGTTATGTCATGTACTTGATAAATTCATGTTGCTTCTCTGTGCAGTAGCGCTACTGCAGTCGGTAGGGGAAAGGCGCTGGGTATGAAGGAGGTAGGTTCGAATCCTGCTGAAGCTGCTTTTTCGAGTCTTGCAATGTATGTCAATTACCACAGGTTTTTATTAAAGTATTCGCACTTGTAGAAAATTGTGTACATGTCGTTATGTAAAATGTAAAAATTTGTGTACATATCGTTATGTAAAATGCTTCGCAACCCTAAGACGATTTCGTCGCCTCTTGTTTTTCATATTTTATATTTATTAAAAAATAAATGTGAAAAAAAATCACTGGACGCACTAATTGCTACCTACTGTCAAATTATAATGCTGTGTAGGCTATAGTGGGGTAGCCTATATGGGGTACACATTTCTAGGGTTGCATATTTGTATCACTTTCGTTCCTTAGTCAATCATTCTCGTTTCAGTCTTCTCATGGTATCGAGCAGGTTCCCTAGTGGGAACTGTGCATAGGGCCCACCACATCGATTTTTTTTTCTTGCCCGGAGCGCGCTCAGCCCGAGTCGCGCTCCTCTCTCTCACTGCGTCGCGCCGCCCTAGCGGCCCCGTCGCCCTAGCGGCCCCGTCGCCCTGGCGGCCCCATCGTCCTAGCGGCCCCGTCGCCTAGCCCTACGGCCCCGTCGCCTCGCCCTACGGCCCCGGCGCCGCCCTGTCCCGGCCCCGCCGCCCTTCGCTGCGGCCCCGCCGCCCTTCGATGCGGCCCTGCCGCCCTTCACTGCGGCCCCGCCGCCCTTCGCTGCGGCCCCGCCGCCCTTCGCTGCGGCCCCGCCGCCCTTCTTTGCGGCCCCGCCGCCCTTCGCTACGGCCCCGCCACCCTTCGCTACGGCCCCGCCGCCCCTCTCGCTGCGGCCCCGCCGCCTACCTTGCGGCTCCGCCGCCCTTCGCTGCGGCCTCGCCGCCCCTCTCGCTGCGGCCCCGCCGCCTACCTTGCGGCTCTGCCGC